GTCCCTTATGTAGTCCAGGGTGGCCTCAAACTCCATATGCAATCAAAAATAGGCTTTAACTCCAGATCCTCTCACTTTCATTCTGAGTGCTGGAATTACAGGCTTATGTCACCTTTCCTGAGTCACACTCTTTTTTTTCTTGATGTAATCTTTGCTTTCCTGTCATAGGTCACATTGTACTATGAAAGGGATTCCTAATTAATTCTGTCATACAGGTGTCCTCCATCTCACTCACTCTTTAAATAAGCCTGCTTCCGGGGCTGGAGAGATGGCTCAGCGGTTAAGAGCACTGACTGCTCTTCCAGAGGTCCTGAGTTCAATTCCCAGCAACCACATGGTGGCTCACAACCATCCGTAATGAGATCTGGTGCCCTCTCCTGGTGTGCAGACATGCATGGAGGCAGGATGTTGTATTCATAATAAATAAATAAAATCTTTAAAAAAATAAAAAATAAATAAATAAATAAGCCTGCTTCCTTCATACAGGATTGTGATTTTTCAGGATCTAAGCTTTTCCTGGAGCCATTTAAATCCTTAAGGATGGTTTGGAGAGATGGCTCAGAAGTTAGGAGCACTAGCTGCTCTTCCAGAAGTCCTGAGTTCAATTCCCAACAACCATATGGTGACTCACACCCATCCATAATGAGATCTGGTGCCCTCTTCTGGCCTGCAAGCAGAACACTGTTTATATAATATCTCTTTGATAAATAAATAACTAAATAGATCGATCAATCCTCAAGTATGAGTTAGTCCATCTAAATTAGAATAATATCCCAAGGATTGGGACTGGGATACTGACCACATGTTCTACAAAAATTGTAGAAAAACAAGGCAAAAAAATAAACAGAGGCAGCCGGGCAGTGGTGGCACACCTCTTTAATCCCAGCACTTGGGAGGCAGAGGCAGGTGGATCTCTGTGAGTTTGAGACCAGCCTGGTCTACAAGAGCTAGTTCCAGGACAGCCCAAAGCCACAGAGAAACCCTGTCTCAAACAAACAAACAAAAGTAAATAAATAAATAAGTAAAAATAAACAGAGGCAATAGGACCCAGGAGGCATTCTTGGGTTGCACAACTTAAAACATCAAATTTCCACCTATAAATATACAGAGATGGGGCCAGCAAGATGTCTCAGCCAGTAAAGGCCTATGCCACCAAGACTGACAACCTGAGTCCAATATCCGGCCTCACACCAGGGAAGGAAAGAACTGAGTCTTGCAACTTGTCCTCTGACCACCGCATTCTCATTGTAGCATTCGAGCTCCCCTCTACCCCCAACACACACACTAAAAATAAAACAAAAATAAATGTGAACTACATAGAGAGGTAAGTGCTTAAAATTACTTGCAAGTGCTATATCGTGCATGGCATAATAACATTATTTTATGTGAGTACACTGTGGTGATATGAATGAGAAGGCTCACAGATTTGGATGCTCCGTCACAGGGAGGGGTACTACTAGCAAATGTATCACTGAGGGTGGGCTCTGAGGTTGATAAACTTAGGTAACTTCCAAATTTGGACCATTATAAATAATGCCATTGCCATTTGTGTTAAGTTTTTGTTTGCCTGTGTGTTTTAAATCTTCTCATACACGTCTCGATGTTACATGTCTTTATTTCTGAATCCCTTTCTCCCTGATTCTATTGAATTTTCTAAATCTTCTAAATCCAGCCCCCAGCATGTCTACATGAAGTGGGAGGCCATATGGAACCTCGGAAGTTTAATTTTTTTTTGAGGAATTGCACTGCTCTTTCCCCCAGTGCTCACACCACTTTATATCTCCAATGATCGATGCTGATCCAAACTCACTAATATGTGTTTTACTTTCCTTTAAAAATGACAGTTGGGCCGGGCGTTGGTGGTGCAAGCCTTTAATCCCAGCACTAGGGAGGCAGAGGCAGTCGGATCTCTGTGAATTCCAGACCAGCCTGGTCTACAGAGTGAGTTCCAGGACAGCCTCCAAAACAATACAGAGAAATCCTGTCTCAGGAAAAAAAAATGACAGTCGGGGCTGGAGAGATGGCTCAGTGGTTAAGAGCACTGACTACTCTTCCTGAGGACCAGGGTTCAATTCCCAGCACCCACATGGCAGCTCACAGCTGTCTGTGACTCCAAGATCTGACACCCTCACAGACATGCCTGCAGGCAAAGCACTAATGCACAGAAAAAAAATTAAAAAAATAGAAATGACAGTCATCCCAGGGGATCCACTAACCAAGCTGGCTAGGGAGACTGGCACCATCGGCAAGCTCCGGGTTTGATTGTGATGCCCTACTACAATCAGTAAGATGGGAGAGGAATTGAGAATAATTCCTGACATCAACTTGGGACCTCCATATGCACTTGTACACAGGTGCACACATGTCCATACATGTGTGCTCAAGCACATGTAAACATGCACACCACATACACATGAAAGTGGGGGGGAAATACAATGGCAAAACAGAAATGCCAGTTAGCCTAGAAAGTGTGCCAGGCTGTCACAGGTGACTTCTACTTCTGTTTTCCTCATAGTTTATGCTACTGAACATATTTTTATATGTTTTTATCCACTTGAAAAGCAATGGAGAAATGATTACTGATATAGTTTTAGTTTTTTTAAATTGAATATAATGTATTCTATATACCAACCCCATTAAAGATAAGATTTTCAAATATTTTCTTCTACTCTATGGGTTGTCTTTAGCTTTCTTCCAAGTTTTCTTTGATGGTTAGAAGTATTAAATTTGATGAAGTGTGACTTGCTTGTGCCTTTGAAGTCACATTTACAAAGTTATCACCTTCCCAGAGCTTCTGGTCTCTAAAATCAGTCATCACTAATAGGAACCAATTCTCTTTGGAGAAATTGCTGATGCAGAGACCAGTCCAGGAAATGTACAAGAGCTGCCAGGAGTAAATAACTATCTCTATTTCCAGAAAGTATGGGAACGCTATCATTACATATCTCAGAGAAGCACAGGAGTCAATGAAAAAGCTCCTGTGTCTAAAGCTGCAGTGACATGAGCAACAAAATAAAAAATATAAGCCAGTGATGGTGGCACATGCCTTTAATCCCCCAGCACTTGAAAGGCAGACGCAGGTGGGTCTCTCGAGTTTGAGGTCAGTTTGGCTAAAGAGTAAGTTCCAGGACAGCCAGGCCTACACAGAGAAACTCTGTCTCAAGAAAACAAACAAACAAAAAGAAAATGCAGTGCAGGATTGTGTTCACATTACAAACTATGCCATGAATCTACACCCCATAACAAATCATTGAACACATTAATTAGTAGGAAAGAAGGGATTCTAATTAAATTCCTAACCTGCTTTCTGTTTCAAGTGTTAGAGCTGCAATGTAACACTTCCAGCCCCTTTGGGGTCATGGTTTAAACACTTGTTCCTCAGCCAATAGTGCTTTCTGGGGAGATTATACAGTCTGTAGGAGAGAGGGCCTAGATGGATGAGTCCTTGGAGGACAAGGTACCCCTGCCTGGTTCCTCTTTTGCTCTCCTGCTTCTTGGTCCATCATGAGGGACAGCCTCCACCCCAGGCTTCCAACATGAACTGAATGCTCCACCACACCTTCCTTGCCATGATCGACTGAATGCCTTTGATACTGAGAGCCAAAAACAAAAACAAAACAAAACAAAACAACAACAAAAAATCTTATCCCTTAAGTGGTTTCTGTCTGGTATGGTATTGTGAACGCAGCAATGCAAAGGTAACTAAACCATATGGATTTACCCACTCCTGACATCATCAGACCCTTTGCACAGTGTTTCTAGGATCATCTGCGCTGCAGTGTACACCAAAAAAAAAAAAAAAACAAGCTGCTGCCGTATCACACTTTATCCATCAACCACTTAATGAGCATCTGAGTTGCTTCTACCTTCTGGTTACCATGAATAGCACTTCCGGAGAGTATTACAGGTTTTCATTTGGCTAAGTGTTTTCAACGTTTGCTAGAAAACACAGGTGTTAATCTTTGATTCAAAGAAGGAAATGACCAGCTATTTTAAAACCTCTAGCCAATTCGACAAGTATTTACTGAGAACCTATCAGCTGCCTGAATGGCAAGCCTGCGGAATTACTGAGACAAAAATCACCTTTGACTTCTTTGCACAGAGAAGTAGAATAGCAGTAAAAAGCCGACCTTTCAGCACGTGGTTTAACTACTCCTTTTACGTGTGCTATGAAGTGAAAACTACTTGGGAGAGAGGAAGGGAACCGGAAGGCAAGGGGGGAGGGGGATATGGAGAAGGGCAGTGAGGGAGGGAGAGAGTTTTGAACAAAGTGTAATGACATATATGTATGTATACACACATATAAACACATACATATGCTACAGAACCATTACTTTGTATGATAATTTACAGAATTAATTTTCAGGACAAGGGAAATGGCTCAGTAAGTAAAGGCACTTGCCAGCAAGCCCTGACGCCTAGTTTGGAATTTGATTACCACAAAGTAGGCCTTAACTGAATGTTTCAAAAGAAAACAACCACTATCTAAACTTCAGTCTGTCCACGCCTGCACTCAACACCTCATCACAGTGTTGTTTCTTTGCACTTGAATGGGCTGTTTTGGTCTTCTGTCCCTGTCTCGCAGGTCAAGTGTCTCTATAAGCTTCTTGACCGGGTCAGCTCCCTGCAATGCCTCCATCTCCGGCTGAGAACTCAGCCTCTCCTCCAGGCACTCTCCGTAAGTCTACAGCTCTCCCACAAACACCCAGGCCCCGAAGGGCCAGCACTAGGTCACCTAGGAGAAGTGCAGCCACGAGCAAGTGGGTTTCCAGCTGGCTCACACCGACGAGCAAACGCCTGCAGCCTCCGCCGAGCCTCCGGCAGTAGCTCCGCCCCAGTCCCGCACCACCACGCCCACATGCCGTTGGGGGAGGGGAAAATATAAGGTGGGGCGTGACGTCACAGACAGCGGGCGCCCATTGGGCCGTCGTGCGCGCCGGGGGCCGGGAGGCGTGTCTGCGAGCGCTGATTGGCTGGTGCGCGCCGGCGGGGCGGAGCCGACCGCGGGCCGGGAGCGCGGCGGCGGCGGCAGCGGCGGCGGCGGCAGCAGCATGGGTCCTCGCCCGCGGCTTCGCTGAGCCCTCGCTGGCCTAGGCTGCCCGCGGCGCCCGCAGCGGCGGCGGCATGAAGGGGGTCCTGGGGAGCCCGGTGGCCGCCGCGGGCGCCGCGATGCAGGAGACGTTCGGCTGCGTCGTGGCCAACCGCTTCCACCAGCTGCTGGACGACGAGTCAGACCCGTTCGACATCTTGCGCGAGGCCGAGCACCGGCGCCAGCAGCAGCTGCAGCGCAAGCGGCGCGACGAGGCGGCGGCGGCGGCGGCGGCGGCCAGCGGGGCCGGGCATCGCGGCGGCCGGAGCCCGGCCGTGGCCTCAGGACACAGAACCGGCGGGGCCGGCCGCAGGGAGTCGCAGAAGGAGCGCAAGAGCCTCGCGGTGTCGAGCGCGCAGCAGCCGGACAGCCCTGGGGGCCCGCAGCCGCCAGGTACGCCGTGGGCACCCAGGTCACCCCTCCCGCCGCTAGGCTCGACTCGCGGCAGACGGGTCCCGCGTGGGCGGGCGGGTCAGAGCTGGGAATCCTGATGGGCACAGGGTCCGGGGGGGGGCAACCCTCCAGGGTAATCACCCTAATATCCTAATAACCCTCCCGAGGGCTACCCTCCCGAGGGACCCTCTCAGAGTCCAACTCCCCAGGGTCACCTCCCTCCCACCCCCCACCTCCCACCCCCGCCCGAGACATTCTGGCAGGATCTGACACCTCAGGGCCACCCTGCTGGGTAGTCACTTTCCCGGGTCGCCCTGTCTCGGTATAGGGGCCAGGATCTTTATTCCCGGTGGGCTCATCCCAGATGGGGGAGAGTAAGCAGGTTCTTGATGGGCAGAAGGCCCAGGGTCCCTATCCACGAGGAGGGGCCGGGGGGGGGCTGTCCTTGTCCCTATGGACCCGTTCCGGATCGGGGTGGGGTGGAGTGGGCCGAACTGGAGGTTCCTGATGGACGAGAAGGCCCGGGGGGTGAGCATGGAAGACCTGGCAGTCCTGGTTGGGTGAAGGGGCTGGGGACTGACGACAGCTTGAGGGTCGCGAAGCTGGAATCCCGACATCTGCCCCTGGCTGCATCCTTCATCCTCCCCGCGGGCCTCTGCGGGATTCAGCCCCGTAGGCGACGCGCCTTTGAAACCTTCAGGAATCGCAGACTGCGGGCCTCGAGATTCAGGGAAACCTGGCCACCCGTGGTTGCGGGAGCCCCGGTACCGCAGACCTTAATCCAGGGCAGGTGGGGTGGGGTGGCGCCTGGGGTCCCAGCTCCTCTGCACCTTGTCTCTTTCTCTATCTTCGTATCATAGCTTCTGTAGGGAGCGTAACTGTGATTCATTCACTACTGTTTTTGGAGAACCGGCTTGAACCTTTGCAGTTAGTGTTCAAAGTTACCCTCTCAGGTTAGCAGAAGGGCTGACCCTCCTCCGGGTGTGCTGTCTGGCACGGGAGGCGGCTTCAGACTTCGTGGCTGTCACCTGAACTGCGTCAAGTTTTTTTTTTTTTTTCTCAGCCCAGCTCTTGCCTCCTGCTTGCCCGTTTTCCCATAAGACTATGACCATAAAGGTTGACAAGAAGAGGTATTGAGTGTATAGTTTGACCGTTTGACCACGGGGTAGGCGGATGTTCGTGTGGGCATTATTGCTTTGTCCTTGCTTGAGAAAAACTGTTCCCCCTCTAGATTTACGTTCGAGGCTTTGGCTAAGTAATGAAGATGGATAGGATACCTCAGTAGGTGTAGGACTCTTTTTAAGATTGAAATGCATCGCCGGGCGGTGGTGGCGCACGCCTTTAATTCCAGCACTGGGGAGGCAGAGGCAGGCGGGTCTGTGAGTTCGAGGCTAGGCTGGACCGACAGCCTCCAAAATAATACAGAGAAACCCTGTCTCATAAAACCAAAAAAAAAAAAAAGATTGAAATGCATCATACTGTACATTTTGTATTATGTATCTCTCTTAAATGTATTTTTTAAAAAATGGAAGGGAAGGATTGAGAAAGGCTGTTTTATCTATTTACTTTAAGTGAAAATACACTAGCCACTGGGCGGTGATGGCGAACACCTTTAATCCCAGCACTCGGGAGACAGGTGAATCTCTGTGAGTTGGAGGCTAGCCGGCTGGTCTACAGAGTTCTCAAAAAAAAAAAAAAAAAAAAAAAGGAAAAGAAACATACTAGCTTTGAAGAGTACCAGTTAAAATGATTTGTTGTTGTTTGCTTTTGAGATAGGATTTCTCTGTGTAACAGCCGTGGCTGTCACTTTGTATACCAGTCTGACCTCAAACTGAGATACCTCTGCCTCTGTCTCCTGAGTGCTGAAATGAAAGGCATGTACCACCATGCTTTGCTAAAATGTTGATTTTTAGCCTTTTTAAAATTAAAAATATTTTTTCATGACAAACCCAGTATTTCATGCATGTTGAGCGAATTATTTACCACTGAGCTTGAAACTTTCCCCCAGCTCCTGTTATAGAAATTTTAAACAATCTCAAAAATGTATGAAGTTAATAAAAGGATCCCTTATTTTTATTATGAGTGGCACTATGAATTTATATACATATATTTTTATAATGAAAGCACATTGTGAAGTCAATCACCAAAATGTTTGTCTTGAAAACCTGAGGGCCTCATGTTCCATACCTGCCTGAATCCACAAGCCCCAGAGAGAGACCTGGTTTCAGAAAGTAAGGTGTGAACACCCAGGGTTTACTTCTGACCTGACTTCTGGACCCATATGCACATTAACACACATACATGCATGCACATACAGGTATGTTGCTGTTTCTTTTTTTTTTTTTTTTTTTTTGCAACTGACCCTCACACTAGGAACTGTAAGCTAGTATACTTAGAACTTTATTTGTTCAGTCAGTTCCAAGTTTAGGCATTCTGGCTTTTGAGACCTAGTTGACATTGTTAGGATGGAAATTTTGTAATGAGAATTCCTTTTTCAAGTGCACATGATCTCCATGCCTGTAGCTCCTATTCTGCATGTATCTGATGGGCTGCAGAGAGTGCCTATTGATGTTGTTAGCACTAGTTGACATGAAAAACCATGCATTTCTGCACTCAAAAAAAAAATTAAACTTAGCCAGGCAGTGGTGGCGTACACCTTTAATCCCAGCAGTTAGGAGTCAGAGCCAGGGAGATCTCTGTGAATTCTAGTCCATCTTGGTCTATCCACACAGCTAGTTCTAGGACAGCCAAGACTATACAAAGAAACCCTGTCTTGGAAAAAGAAAAAAAAATGTAAACTTTGAATGTCCTGAATGAATGTGTAGTGCAGACAAATACCATGCATATTTGCTGTGTAACAGAGCCTGTTACTGATCTCAAAATGATGTGGAAGTCATTATTTTTCCTATGGAAATACAGTTTTTTGTTGTTATTGTTTTGCTTTTTAGTGTTCTAGTCTGTCTAATGATAACCCTTGGATGAACCTTGCCCAGTAAATTCATTCTTGAATCAACAGTTGTTTCATCCTGTTTTCATAGACTTTCAGGGTTAGAGTGAATAAGCCAACATTCTTTTTTGTGCTACAGGAAGTCCTACTGTAAATTTTACTGTATTCTGTTTACACCATGCTTTAGTTTAGATAAGTAATCAGACTGTAGGAGCCAGCTCTTTATTGGAAAGGGTGGGGAGATGCAGCATCCGCATTGCTTATTCTGAGCCGCTGATTCAGCACAGAGAAGCAAGCTAGGTCTGGTTGCATCTTAATCTCCTAGAACCAAGTTGTGGGGGAATTAAAATCTCTCTGATTAACTAATGTTTTAGGGTTTTAGAAAAATGTAATGTTTAATGTTTGCTGAGCAGAGATACATAGTTAAAACGATATGAGTTGCAAGTAGGAAATCAAACTGATTAAAATAATGTGGATTTTTTTGTTGTTGTTGAGACAGGGTTTCTTTGTGGCTTTGGAGGCTGTCCTGGAACTAGCTCTTGTAGACCAGGCTGGTCTCGAACTCACAGAGATCCACCTACCTCTGCCTCCTGAGTGCTGGGATTAAAGGTGTGTACCACCAATGCCCGGCTGTTTTTTTTAAAGACTGTGTGTGTGTGTGTGTGTGTGTGTGTGTGTGTGTGTGTGTGTGTGTAAGCATGTTTGACTGTATGTGTGTGTGTATATACAGTGTGCATGCATACAATGACTACAGAGTCCAGAACAGGGTGTCAGATCCCCAGAACTGGAATTACAGATGGCTATGTGGGTGCTGGGAATTGAACCTTGGTAAGGTCCTTGGTAAGGTCCTTGGTAAGAACCATAAGTTTGCTTAACTACTGAGCCATTTCTCCAGCCCCAATAGTTGTGTTTTTTTTTTTAAATACATTTTTATTTGATGTGTGCGAGTGTTTGCCAGCATGTCTGTATGTGTACCATATGCCTGCCTGATGCCTACAGAGGCTAGAAGAGGGTGTCAGACTTCCTCGAACTGGGGTTAGAAACTGTTTTGAGCTATTATGTAGGTGTTGGGAATCAAACGTGGGTCCTCTATAAGAGCACCCAGTCCTCTTAACTACTGAGCCATTTCTCCAGCTCTAATAGTTCTTTTTATACTGAGGAGTGCTGATGACTGGAGTGCCATGGATAGACCTTTAAATTTTTCAGCTTGTTTTGTGTTTTTAGATGTATTTATTTTATGTATGCAAGTGCTTTATCTGCTTGTATACCTGCACATCAGAAGAGAGCATCCAATCTCACTACAGATGGTTGTGAGCCACCACGTAGTTGCTGGGAATTGAACTCAGGATTTCTGGAAGAGCAGCCAGTGCTCTTAACCTCTGAGCCCTCTCTCCAGCCCCCTCGGCTTGTTAGTTTTAAGGATGATAATTTACCCCTTATATTTCAAACACCTCTTCCAATGTTTTAGATTTAAAAATTTTAAGAATTCCATATAGGAATACCATATTTACATATTTTTCTCTTTCTTCTCCTCCCAACTCTTCCTGTGACCCTACACCCCTCTCACATTCATGACCTCTTGTATATTATTCTTACACACACAAGCACATGCACATGCACACCCTACTAGTTGCTCAAATGTACATGTGTTTAAAGCTGGCCATTTGGGATTGATTAAATCCATCAAGGGGGCTTGTCCCTGGAAAAAACTGTGTGTTCAATATTGTGTATGTTCTGTCACTTTCACCTTATTTTCTTGAGACAGGGTCTTTTAAAAATATTTTAATGACTTTATTTTATGTGCATTGGTGTTTTGCTTGCACTTATGTCTGTGGGAGGGTGTTGGATCCTGTGAAATTAGGGTTACACACAGTTGTGAGCTGCCATGTGGGTGATGGGAATTGAACCCTGGACCTCTACTAGAGCTGAGCCATCTCTTCAGAATCCTTAGAGACGTGGTCTGTTTTTTTCTTTTTTCTTTTGTCTTTTTTTTTTTTTTTTTTTTTTGAGCCAGGGTTTCTTTTTGTAACCCTGGCTGTCCTGGAACTTGCTCTGTAGACCATGTTGAACTCAAAGAGATCCCTCTGCTTCTGTCTCAGGCTGTACCACCACTGCCTGAGACACAGTCTTTCAGTAAATCCAGAACTCACTGTGTATCTATACTAGCTGGCTAAGGAGTCTCTCTGCCTCCCCAGTGTTGGTGTTACAGGCATACTCCATCACCCTTTTCTGTAGGTTCCAGGTATCTGAACTCTGGTCTTCATATTTGCACAACAAGCACTTTGCCTGCTAAGCTATCTTTCCAGCACCCGAATTTGATTTCTTGATAATGCAAAAATTTGCAATTACTTTATTTATGATATCTTTTAGTGTTCTAAACATACTACAAACTCAGATTGTAAACTCACTGAGTAATGCAAATTGTTTTTAAATATTTCTAGTTAGTCATGGGACATTAGGCTGTCAGGCATAATGGTGCACATCTTTAATCCCAGCACTAGGTGGCAGGTAGATTTCTTGTGACTTTAATGGTCAGCTTGGTGTACAAAGGAAGGTCCAGGCCAGCCAGTCAGTTACACAGTGAAAACCTGTCTCAAAGAGACAGAGACAGAGATTGGGCTTAGATTTGTGGTGTAGTTTTTCATACTAAAAACCTGCTTTACAGTTTTATGTTAGTAATATCACACACTAAGAACTGATAATATATTTAAGTGCTAGACTTTAAAGCATAGGTAAAAAATGCTACTGTGAAAATACCTATATGCCTGTGTATGTATATAAGCCTGTTTATGCAAATATACATATATATGTTGTCCATGCCAGGAGTTTAACAGTTAAAAATGTACCTATTTGAAGAAATTAAACATTTTATAGCTATACAATCAATGGGAATAATTTCTGCTAAGAAAAGTGAAAGCCATTAGAACAGAAGTTGCATGTACTGTTTGGGGGGGGACCATAAAAAGTGATGAATCAGTACACAACATATTACTAGATGCTAGATAGCTTAAAATTCATGATTTTAAAAAGCTAAGCATATAAAGTAGAGAATAGGGCTGGTTGGTAGTGGTGAACACCTTTAACCCTATCACTTAGGAGGCAGAGGCAGGCTGATCTCTGAGTTCGAGGCCAACCTGGTCTACAGAGCATCTTCCAGGACAGCTAGAGAAACCCTGTCTTGAAAAACTAAAAGGGAGAAGGGAGAGAGAAACTGGTAGCCCCTGCCCCAGCTAGGTGCTGGATTCCTAGTAAACAAAAAAGACACCCTGTTTGAGTACTGGCTGCCTCATAAATGGGTTAGAAAATGTGTGTGAGGTGAGTATTGTCACATATAAATCCTATCAAAAAGCAAACACCTTCCTTCATGTCAGAAGATAGACCCTAGTTGTCCTTGGTTTGTTTGCATTCCTTTTTGATTTGTGTTTTGGTTTTGGTTTTGTTTTGTTTTTCAAGGCAGGTTTGCAGGTTTCTCTTTGTACTCCTGGCTGTCCTGGAACTTGCTCAGAGATCCACTTATCTCTGCCCTCTTGAGTGCTGGGATTAAAGGCATGGGTCAAGTCCGGCTATAGATGGTATTCTAAAAGTGTAGCCTGAGGTGAAAGGTTTTTATTCTTTAATTTTCTTAAATGGGTCTTTATCACTATGACTTGGTAAAGTTGTGTTTGTGAGATGCCACTGTCTAGTAAAAGATACCCAACAGCAGTCTCAGAGGCACTGAAAAGGTGAAAAAGTAGCCAGGCATGGTAGCACACCTGAGCAAGAGGATCATCTCTTCAAGACTGGCCTCCTGTAACCCTGTCATTCCCAGGACTTGGTGAAGTCTTATTGCTGATTAACAGATGAGGCGATGGTAGGCAGTAACTGCTTCTCTCTGAAGCCCTCACTTCCCAGTGACTTTGATTTCTGGAGAAACCTCTAACCCTCATGTCCACCCCACACCGTGCTGCTGTTGATGCTGTGCCTGAGCTTTGCTTTGATTCTCCTGGCAGGCCAGAAGCGGACTTCTAGAAGAGGGGAGCAGCAAGGATGGAATGACAACCGAGGGACAGACGTGCTTGATAGAGCAGAGCGAAGGTCCTACAGGGAATATCGACCCTTTGACACTGAGAGACAGGCAGACTTGACAGCGGAGAAGTTTACAGATGAAAAGTATGTACCTTAGTCCTCGGTTAGGGTAGCCAGGGCCCCAGAGATTTCCAGTTAACTACTAGGCTTTGTGACATTTCTGTGGTGGCAGTCCTACGAATAATTTGCCAAGGTAAGTCTCAAGTCATGTTACCTTCAGTAGAACATGAAGGATCTTCCATTTACCTATGATTGTACAATTAAAAATTAATTGTGGCCAGGTGATGACGTACACGTTTAATCCCAGAGACAGAGGCAGGTGGATCTCTGTGGGTTCCAGGCCAGCCTGTTACCGAGTGAGTTCCAGGACAGCCAGGACTATGTAGACAAACCCTGTCTTGAAACCCCCTCCCAAAAGTTTAAAGAATAGAAAGACTATTTGGGGTACAAATGAAGAGTCTTTTTAAAATGTTTATGTTTGTGGGATTTTGCCTTCATGTATATGTATGTGTACCATATGTGTGCCTGGTGCCCATAGAGACCAGAGGAGTGTCAGATCCCCTGGAACTAGAGTTACAGATGGTTGTGAGCTTCCATGTGGGTACTACAAACACAGGTCATTTTGAAGAGCCAGTGCTCTTAACCATCCCTCCAACCCCTGAAAAGCCCTGTTAAAAAACAACAACAAACCAACAAAATACACACATACACAAAAGTAAGTTGAACAGGTTAAAGATACTTTTGAAGTTAGATTAGGAAACTAATTTTGGACTTAGGGATATAATTGATGAGATTTAGCAGTTGTCCCATGATCTCATGTACACTGTGGTGCATGTGTGTGTGTGCATTTACACATGAGAGATAGATGATAGATAGGTAAATAGATAAATAAATAGGTAGATAGATAGGTAGGTAGGTAGGTAGATAGATAGATAGATAGATGTAAAAAAACAAAACAAAACCAATGAACACCCCACCCATCTTCCATTTGAGATGACACCTTTTAGGATTTGGCCTATTTTTCCATCTGTTAATCTACTGATGTGGTTGTTTTAGTTATTTTTCTAACAAGATACAATGATCAAGGCAACTTATGAAAAAAAGAGCATTTAATTGGGGTCCTAAAGTTTCAGAGTGTGAGTCTTTAATTAATGATTGTGTCAGGGAGCATGGCAGCAGGCAGGCAAGTAGGCATGGTTCTGGAGCAGTAGCTGAGAGCTCACATCTAATCTATAACCACAATGCAGAGAGTAAGCTAATTGAGACAGCAATGGGCTAATGAAGGCTTTTGAAACCTCAAAGGCTACCCCCCTTGACTCAACGCCTTCAACAAGACCACACCTACTAATTTTTCCCATACCACTAGTCCTTCCCAAACAGTTCCACCAACAAGAACCAAACATTCAAACATGACCCTATGGGGGCCGTTCTCATTCAAACCACCACAGATGATAATACAGACATGCTGACCACTCCACATCCTTTTGTTTCTTCTTGACACACGAGAGTTTCCTATGTGATCAGCAGTGTTTGCTCAGTGTTTTTGGTTGTGTGTTAGTTGCATGTGATATGTTGAGTGCACACTGCACTCAGTGGCTGTATTGTATTGTGATCCATTATTTGGGTGTATCATATGTTACCACTTGCTTAGTGCTGTTGGGTCTGTGTGTGGCTCAGCATTAGGCTTTATTAAGATGCTTGGGATCTCTGTAAGGCATTTCCTCAGTAGAGCCCTGGAATTAGAATGCCAGTTGAGGTCGAAAAGCTGTGACTCTCAGGCAGGTGACCTATATCTGCCTCTGGCTTTAGGACAAAGTTAAATGGATAGAGGTGGTATTAAAAACAGACAAAATTGGGATGGGGGGTTGTAGGTCATAGCTACATATCAGTTTGCTTTGTCACTTCTCTGCAATAGCATCTCCCACAGCATGTTCTATAAACTGGGCTGTCGTCCAGGCTGGTTTTTGCTTATTTTAATTAAAGTGCACTTACTTTGAATTTCTTGATACATGTTACTAGACAGAATTACAAATTTTTTGTTATCCTAAAAGAGTCTAAATTCAGCCCTTTCAACTTACAGATGGAAAGCAGAGACCCAGAGTTGGAGTGACTCTGGTCTCAGCTAGTTGACAAGGATGTTGACTCTGTACAGGCAGAACACGTGTTTTCCTTCAGAAGCCACATCCTATGTGTGAGGAGTTGATGGAGCCAGGATCAGATGCAGAGAACAGTCATGTTGGTGTATGTGGATCTGGGATACAGATATTCCTTGCATCGAAGCAGGAGCTTTTCCTTAGGCCTCTAATGAACTTAATTGAACCCTATGAACATAGACTTGTTAGGTTTGACAGGTAAGAGCACTTGCTGTTCTTTCAGAGGAACTGAGTTTGGTTTCTAGCACACTTATCAGACAGCTCACAATGGCCTGAAACTCAAACTCCAGAGCCTTCAAGGCACATACAGGCATGTTTACATACATATTGATTCACACAGGTATACACATAAAAATAAAATGAATCCCCAGGAAGTGGTGGCACACACCTTTAAACCCAGCACTTGGGAGACAGAGGCAGGCAGATCTCTGTGAGTTTGAGGCCAGCCTGGTCTACAGAGCTAGTTTCAGGTCTTTGGTCACAGGATAGAGAAGGTTCAGTATGTTCAAGATTCCAGCTCCAAATATCACCTTCCGGCTGTGTGATTAGAAGAGAGATTTGGAGGGAAAATATTTAAAGCTAAGGCATTTTTCTTACACAAAATATTCCAAATTAAATGTTTAATACCAAGATAGGAAAGAACCTTTAAATTTAACTAACACGGTCGTTGTATAACTGGATCCTCAGAGTGAAAGCCCTGCCCCCACTAGTTGAGAACCAGGACCTGTGCTCCCCACCTGGTACCCGTGTGACCTCAGGCAAATCCCTTCCTACACTGCTTCAGGTTTCCGTCTCCTTAACAGCAGTTCTGTGAACTAAACTTGGTTGTGAGAATTAAAGCGCTATGTGTATAGTGCTCAGAGCAGTGCCAGGTACAGTGTGTTCAGTAGTTGACTCTTAGTTTAGTCAGGCCACCATGCTTTCTGATCTACTAACCATAACTGGCTTCTAGAGTTTGTGTGTTTTTCTCAAAAAGGCTTCAGACCTTTTAAGTCCATTTCACTGCTTTTCATTATACCTGTCTTTTCCTAGACCAGTTGACAGGTTTGATCGAGACAGACCACTGAGAGGACGTGGAGGCCCCAGAGGAGGCCTGAGGAGCAGAGGCCGAGGTGGTCCTGGGAACAGAGTTTTTGACTCCTTTGACCAAAGAGGGAAACGAGATTTTGAAAGATACAGTAGCAATGACAAAGTGTAAGCTCCTCTGCCTGTGCTGTTTCCACTTTTGATTTTGTGTCTGTTGATGACCAGCTTGATATGAGTGCTGTCTGTCATTCTTGTGGGGCAGGATTTTATTTTTTTTAAAGATTATCTGTATCTGTGTGTGTGTGTGTTGTGGGCATGAGCTGTGACATGCATGAGTGCAGTGCCTACACAGGCCAGAAGAGGATATCAGATCCTCTGGTGTTACAGTTATGTGCCGTCTGGTGTTAAATGCGGGTCCTTTGTAAGAGTATGCACTGAGCTATCTGTGCAGATGCTGGGGCAATGTTTTCTGACTGGGAGGCTGATGAGGAGCAGGCTCCACCTGAAGTTAATGTGCTGGTTCTTTGTTTCTCCAGTGCAAACAGAATGGAGGACAGCATGGGTAGCTGTGGTGTTCGCTCCTGGGGATCGGGTAAAGACACTAGGTAAGGTGCAAAGATGTATTCTCTGAGAGCCTGTGGTGGAATGGGAGTCTTGTTTGTCAAGTAGCGCACACCATGTATATGTGTCTATGCCTGGGATTGACTGAATCAGGAGAATACTTTTTTTTTTTTTTTTGGATTTTCCAGACAGGGTTACAAGGTTACTCTGTATTGTTTTGGAACCTGTTCTGGAACTCATTTGGTAGACCAGGCTGGCCTTGAACTCAGAGATCCAGAATGCTGGGATTAAAGACATGTGCCACCAATGCTCACACAGGAGAAAACTTTTTAAAACATAGTTGTTACGTTGTATTTAGACTTGAGACTATTTTTCAAGGTCTATTTGTTTATTTACTTAATTATTTGAGACAGAATCTCAGGATATAGCCCTGGCTGGCCTGGAACTCATTATATAGACTAGGCTGGTCCAGAAGTCATGGAGATCCTCCCTCCCCTGCTTCCCAATCAAAAGCATATGCCACCATACCCCCTAAAGGTCTTAATTTTTTTAAATCTAATTTTAGCTAAGTAATACTTGACAGATGACCACATATATGTTCATAAAGTTTAAGCATATGGTGTGGCACACTTGCACATCTCAGAATGCATTTTATTTTATTATATTTTTTTATATTTGAGACAGGGCCTCAATATTTGGCCCAGATTGTCATTCATCCTTCTGCCTCAGCTCCCTAAGTGCTGGGCTTACAGACATATGCATCATACCCAGCCTATACTTTATTTCTCTGTGAGTTTCCAGAGTTCTTACAGATCTTTATTTGGTAAAGTCCTCTGCAGGGTCTGCACATGGGGCTCAGTTAGAAGAGTACTCTCTTAGTATCCACAAAGCTCTGGGTTTGATCCCCAGCCCTGTGTAAACTGGGAGTGGTAGTGCATGTCAGTAATCCCAGGTTCTGAAGTTCAAGGTTATCTTCAGCAATATGAGTTCAAGGAAAGCCTGGTGAACATGAAGAAGCCTTGTCTCAAACTGAGCACTTGCTGCTCGCATAAGGACCTGAGTTTCAGGAGTTTTGAATTCCTCTTCTAGCATCCTTGGGCACTGCACCCACATGGTACACATACCGGCATACAGACAGACACACATACACAGAAATTAAAATAAGCCTTTAAAAAGCTGAAAGTTGGAATTCTTTTTTAAATAACTTTTTGAGGTTTATTTATTTTATGTTTATTGTGCTCTACCTGTGCTCAGAAGAGGGTATCAGATCCCAATACAGATGACTATGTGTCACCATGTGGGTGCTGGGGATAGAACTCAGGTCATCTGGAAGTGCTGCCAATGCTCTTAGCCACTGAACTCTCTCGCCAGCCCCCAAAAGTTGGAACTCTTGCCAGGCTTGGTAGCATACATGGTTGATACCAGCACTTGGAGGGAGGGAGCAGTGCAGGGGCAGGTAGATTTACATGTGAGTGTAAGGCTGACCTGGTCTACACAGTGAGTACTAAGTATATAAAAAGTAAAAAAAAAAAAGAAAGCTGGATTCTCCAGTATAATAAGAGTTTGGATTTCTCCCCCTGATCAGTATCATCTGTTCTTAATTTTAGAGCATTCATGGACATTTCTATTTATTTTTGACTTTTTGGAAATAACTTTTTTTGTTTTTATCATTTTTATCGTTTTTTTCGAGATAGGGTTTCTCTTCGTAGCTCTGGCTGTCCTGGAACTCGCTCAGTAGACCAGGCAGGCCTTGAACTCACAGAGATCTGCTTGCCTCTGCCCCCCGAGTGGGAAGAAATGACAGTTTTAAGCAGCCGTTACTACTTTCTTTCACTGCGATGTGAATGAAGTTCCTTTGAGAAACAGGGCCTGAATTGTGTTTCCTGGCTGTAACTAGATGAGGGCATTGGTGAGCATGACGGATTGTGTGACGAATGTTCTTGCTACTTTTCAGCGACACAGAGCCACCTGCAGCCATGGAAGAGAGCTCAATGATGGAGGAGTCCCAGGGTTCCCTGGACGAGGAGTCTCCAGCCAAGTAGGCAGCTGCTTCTTACGCCTATGGGTTATCTCTTAATGATTCATTCTCTTTCTCTTTTAAGATTGGACATTATGTTTATTGAGCACAAAGTTGTGCAGGCGGGTGTGCACACCACCACATCCAGCTGGAACAGCATTCTTAGCCCACTGAGCCATCTCCCTAGCCTTCTCTCTTAATGGCTTTAAAAGCTGAGCCCTTTCTCATGTCATACTGGGTTGGTCTTGTTTACTTGTTAATGTAAACTGGTTAAGTAATCTGATAGACTTTTTTTTTAATGACAGATTAAATTCAAGTATTGTGCCTTCTGCCCCCTTACCTATTCTGTCTTCCTTTTTTTCATGAAGACTGGTCTCTGGTCCATATCTAGCACACTGAAGCTTTCAGTTTCCTTTCCCTGTTAATGAGCCAGGGTGCTAGCCACTGAACTCTTAGGATCCTCCTATCTTCTGGCGTTGTCTCTTAAGGAAAAGCCACCTCCTGGACAACTCCTCATTCAGCCTTCTCCTTACTGAAGAAGCAAGTCACAAGCCAGGGAAATTGGAACCTTTGAAAGGTTTTTGTTCTTTTTTGGTTTAGTTTATTTTTATTTTTATTATTACTCTGTGTGTGCATGCATTATGTGTGCATGTGGAGGTCAGAGAGCAACTTTATAGAGTTGGTTCTCTCCTTCCTCCTTTATATGGATTCCAGGGATCAATCCCATTTACTAGGCTTGTGTAACAAGCCCCTTTACCCACTGAGTCCTCTCACCAGCCCTTCTGTAACACTTTGATCGCTAGTATTCCAAGATGACCAGCCATCACTTTCCAGCATTCCCAATATCATAGAGTCTTCAAAACCTTGACAGTACTTTCTGAGGTCACTGCCACACCTCAGAGAAATTCGGTATCCCAGGTGGGAAGTTGGTGGCCTTCCCATTCCCAAAGACATAACCTGTCTGCATCTACCAGTCCCAGAGCTCTTTTCCTCATGGCAGAACACAGTCCCATCTCTTCCCTCCCTTCCCACAGTTTTGATTTCCTCAAACCCTCAAACTGTCAGTTTGTTAATTTCTTCTTCCCCAACTCTGGTCTTCTGGACATTTTAAATGTGTGCAGTCTCACATTGAAGTTTCGTTTTGACCCTGAAGTATGCCATGTTCATTTCCTCTCTCTTGTTTGTTCTTGTAACTCCAGACCTGCCTGCTTCCTGTTGTCATTACCCTCTGAATACTTTCCCCATGACTCCAGGCTTAATGGCCACTTCATTCTGGATCTGTGTTGATTTAAGCTGGCTCTCTGATTCCCTCTGCCTTGGAAGTCTCCTTTGCAACTCATCAGGGTTTTGCCTCAGGCCTCTTCTGGGGTCTTACATACCTGCTGCTTAAACAAACTATCACATATGTGTTGACACCAGAACAGATCTTTGGCTTCATCCTTCAGTGTCAACTCTAGGTCTGTGTGTTGTCACCTGCATACCTTCCCCAGCATTCCCATTGCTTTGCATGTTCAGCATGACTTAACTGCTTGCTTCTTCACAAATGTCTGGTGTCTGTCTTCTGGAACAGCATTATCACCATCAGCTTCCCCAGCCAGAAGCTTAGGAGTCTCCCTTGGAAGTACTGTTTTCAGTCCTCTCCCACCCCCAGATCCAGGCCTTCACTCTGCCCCTAACTGTTCACCATCTGTCACCAGCACAGCCTAAGCTGCTGTTGTCTGGTTGTTACTGCAACTCCTGGTGGTCTCTGCATTCTCATCTGCAGCAGGGGCTCTTACACTAGCATTCTGAGTGTCATGTCCACTGGTGCCTTAAGACCCCCTTCAGTGGCTTCCTGTTCCTTCTCTGCTCTGTGCACAGTCCCGCTTGGCCTGGCCCCTGGGGACCCTCAAATCTGACTATTCTTGTGCCTTACTGGGATCCATTTTGTGGCCCCTACTTAATGTCTCTGAACGTACCACTCCACTGGCCATCTAAGCTTGCTTCTGTGTTTGCTGACTTCTCGCTCTCCACCTCGCTGCTGGCTGTCCCTTTCTCACCCCTCAGCTGCCAGAGTAAGACTAAGCCAGTTTGATCAAGTTATTTAATCTGCCCTCACTTGTAAAATGGGGATAATCAGCTGCCCACAATGGAGTTGTGAGGACTGTGTGTGAGCACAGCTACATTCATATCCACAAAGTGGGAGAGACAGGGCGGGGCACCTAGAGTGGAACCCAGAGCTTGGTTGCTATGTAAGTATCTGCCAGTTATCAGCCTTGCTTCTTACAAGAGTGACAGTGATTGACAGTTGTGACAGCTGTGAATGTACTGCTCAAAACAACTAAGAATGTGTTTTTAAAATAGGATTCATAGTTAATGTGCCTATTTAGACAGTGTGTTAGCTAAAGAAATAGATGCACGATTTCTATGAGCTGGGAAAGTGAATTTTGTTGGAATCTTCGGGGAAACAGTTTGAGGCAGTAAACATTTGTATGTGTTTGGGGGTGCTAAGGTTGAAAAAAACCAGCAAGTTTTAGCATTCTGATTAACAGAATTAAGATACTATGGCATTCCTAATATTAGACAAAATAAGATGGGTTAACACTGAAGAGGCTGAGCAAGGCTGGCCACCTGCCTCTCTGTGTAGACTGTAGCTGAACATGGACCTCTGTTGGGAATTTTAGGTTCTGCCCAGCAGAGCAGCCATGTTGGCCAATGTTGAAGAGATCTTGCTTCTTCAGCCCTGTCAGACTTCAAAATTACGAAAATTTCTCATAGCAATGTGTCATTTTTGATGGTTTGAAAATTCCATTCCTTTATGATCGTCTACCCTTGAAGCTCTGAGTGACTGTGGACAGCTCACCTCTCAGACTAACTCCTGATGGAAGAGCTTCAAGTCCTGTGTGCCAGTGTTTTAGTGTACAACCTAAAGTACACACTAAAATACACACTTGTTCTCAAATTTAGCCAGTGCACTGGTGTGTTACACCCTCCTTCTCTTGCTTCATGGCAGCAGCTGATGTCTGAGGGCATCTGCTCCTCTGACCTGCTTTGTCTCTTCTGAAGAGATCATAGAAGTGGAATCTTACACAGGAAAGAGAAGACATGGTGGCTTACTTCACTTTTCATAGTTTTTCCAAATTTCTGTCATGTTATGACCTATATTAGTACTTTTGTTTTTTGAGACAGGGCTTCTCTGTGTGACAGCCTGGCTGTCTTAGAACTCACTCTGGAGACCAGGCTGCCTCAAACTCACCTGCCTCTGCCTCCCTAGTGCTGGGATTAAAGGCATGAACCACTATACCTGATTCTACAATTCTGAAGACCCACCAGACTGTTTCCTAAATTGACACATCACATTCCCCCAGAAATATACCTGGGCTCTAATTTTTGACATCCTTGCTAATACCTGTTAAATGCCTCTAAAGATACCCTTTTCCCCTTTTATTCATCTTAAACAAGAATTGTTTTTATGAGTGCTTCACCTGCACTTATGTATGTATATGTACCACATGAGTGGCTGGTATCCATGGGGTCCAGGAAGGAGCATTGAATCCCCTTGAATCAAGCCACAGCCACCAAGTGGATGCTAAGACCCAAACCCAGGTCTTCTAAAAGAGCCAGAAGTGCTCTTAACTGATGAACCATCTCTCCAGCCCTAAGTGCATTTTTGATACTAGCTGTCCCATTGGATGTAGACTGCTGTAACTCCTTGTGGTGTGAGCCACCTTTCTCTAATTGCTAATGATACTGGACATTTGAAAGTTATTTTTAAAATGTGTCTGTGCATGCAGTTCTTTTGGAAGCCAGAAGAGGGCACAAGATCCCCTGGAACTGGTGCTGGAGATGCTGAGGATTTGGACTTGGGTCCTTGTGCTTGCAGAGCAAGCCATCTGCCAGCCTGCTTTAAACATTTAAAACTGGGTTTTAAACATTTAGCTTTAAACATCTGAAACGTTTGCTAGAATGGGGATGGAACACTTGCTCAACACATGTGAGCCCCTGAGCTCCACTCAGAGCATTCCAAAAAAGTCTACAATAAAAACCTTACTCAAAACTGAGTCATAGAAGAGAGTAAAAACATGTACAATTTTCAACAGGTTTTCTTGATGAAGTTTTCAGGAAAATATGGAAACATGAAAATATACAATGAGGTTTGGAAGCATGGTCTTGGAGAGAGTCTGAAATAATATTCATTTGCTTTTAGAACCAACTGAAGAGGATATTTTTGTGATCCATTGTTTGTAAAATTGTTTGGTTTTTCGAGACAGGGTTTCTCTGTATTGCTTTGGGGGTTGTCTTCGCTCTGTAGACCAGGCTGGCCTCAAACTCACAGAGATTCGCCTGCCTCTGCCTCCTGAGTGCTGGGATTAAAGGCATGCACCACCAACGCCCAGCATGACCCATTGTTCTAAGACTTCTGTCCATCTGGTATAATTAACGGAAATGCTATGGGGCAATGACATCATTTTCACACGTCTTCAATTTGTAGTGAAGGACAGGATGGTAAAGATAAAACTCAGAAGATGTGACTCTGAGGGATTGGGCTACTTTTAACCCTATTTACATTTCTGATGCAGTACTACAAAAGTATAACTTTTTTTGGTAGACATTTGGTCCTATTGGCCAAAAAAATTTCTTTGTTGTAATAATGTGCCATATTACAGAGTTCCTGAGTTGGAGGTAGAAGAGGAAAATCAAGTCCACGAGATGACCTTAGATGAGTGGAAAAACCTTCAAGAGCAAACCAGACCAAAGCCTGAGTTCAACATCCGGAAGCCAGAGTCCACAGTTCCTTCCAAGGCAGTGGTGATTCACAAGTCCAGATACAGGGACGATGTAAGACTTCTGTACTCTCTCTGTGGATATGAAACAGAACCTTGCTATTCCCCTCAAAAAAAAACCAAAAAACATACACACATTTATTGTGGAGGTGTGCATGTGGAGGCCAAGGAGAACTTGTGGTTCTTAGGAGTAAAACTGAAGTCATCAGGCTTAGTGCCCACTTAGCCATCTTGCTAGCCTTCCACTTAGCATTCTTGTTTCTGCTCCAGCATCTTCTAGGATGATGGAGAGGAACAGAACTTGCTGTGTTGACAGTAGAATACTGTATACTCTCTGCCAGCCTTGAAAGTAAGCCTCGAAGACACAGGTGCCAAGGGTTCTGTTCACCTCGGTCCCTTTGTGAGAGGCTCAGCAGCCTTTTCAAAGGTCACTGATTTTGTATTTTGATGATTAGATTGCCATCCTCCCAGGTTCTTTTGTTTTAGACAGAGTCTTTAGTATGTAGCCTGGTCTGGCCTCAAACTCTCCATCCTCCTGATTCAGCTCCCTGAGGGCCAGGATTAGAGGTACAGGCCACCATGATCCTTACCTTCCACTCTCATTCATGATGAGTATACAATTGGGTCAGTGGATCAGTTGAAGTAATACCTGGGGACCTACATTCTGTGATCCCCTTGTTACAGTATTTTAACTGCACTGCTCCCTCTATCTCCTAGATTGCTCATGGCATAGTCAGGTAGCTGCAAGCAGCTGTGCCGAGGGCATTTTTCAGGACTTGTGTGTTGTACAGGCCTTATTCTTCATGTTTTCTGTCTAGCTCTCTTTCTGTGTGTGTGTGTGTGTGTGTGTATCACTACATTATATGTAGCTGTGTCTCCCCAGCCCAGCATTTGGCTTTTTACCAGATGCCTGAAAAGAGATGACCAGGGAAATATCAGTCTGTAATGACAAAGCTGATCACTTACTTCATTCTTCTTTAGTTACTGAACTTAAAAGGAACACTGAAGCATCAGGTGTAGAATTTAGAGTTCCTGTTGCTCAGTCACAGCATGAAACAGTGCAGATTGTGGTGATGAGCAAAATCATTTTACCTGTTGGATATGACTCGTGGGTTTCCAATCAAAGTTCAGAACACTGTAGTTTTGTTTGTGTTTCTGTTAGTCAGATTTCTGGTGCTGTAACAAAATGCCTGAGGTCATGTCTAATGAAAAGAGTTTTGGTTCAGCCTCAGGTTGTGTGGCCCAAAAATGCAAGCTGATGGCAGAAAACCGTATTTGCTTGCTTCACTGTGGCCAAAAAAGGAAAAAAAAAAGACAGGAAGGAGCTGAAGTCCTGATGATGTCCCCATCCAGGACACAGCCCAATGACGCACTTCCTTTTACCATGCCCCACCTCCTCAAGATCCCACCACATCCCAGTCATAGCAATTTCTATGTGCACTTTGGTCAGTTATGTTTTATGAATACTTTTTTTTTTTTGAGACAGGGTCTCTCTGTATTGCTGAAACTCTCTCTGTATACCAGGCTGCTCTCAAACTCACTGAGATCCGCCTGCCTCTGCCTTCCGAATGCTGGGATTAAAGGTGTGTGCCACCGATGTCCGGCTATTCTGATTTTATTTAGAAGGCTGTTGATGACACATTATATCCACTCAGCCTTCTGTTTTGGTCAATTCAAGGTCTAAGACACTTTACCAAGAAGTTTTGATATATTCTTTTTTTTTTTTTTTTTTTTTTTTGGTTTTTACAAGACAGGGTTTCTCTGTTTTGGAGGCTGTCAGTCCAGCCTGGCCTCGAACTCACAGAGATCCGCCTGCCTCTGCCTCCCGAGTGCTGGGATTAAAGGCGTGCGCCACCACCGCCCAGCTAGTTTTGATATATTCTACCAGAGACATTTTTATAGACATGGGAGGCCAGAGCTAGCAGGCAGCATATCTTTTTTTTTATTGTTCTTTTCTGCTGTGAACATTAGAAATAAAACTTCCTGAAAAACCACTGTGCTCTAAGGCTGGGTAACAGGTAAAAATAGTAGCCAGTTCCTAGCTGGATGGTGGTGGTGCATGCCTTTAATCCCCGCACTTGGGAGGCAGAGGCAGGCAGATCTCTGTGAGTTCGAGGCCAGCCAGGTCTACAAGAGCTAGTTCCAGGACAGTCTCCAAAGCCACTGAGAAACCCTGTCTCGGAAAACCAAAAAAAAAAAAAAAAAAAAATCCAATTCCTCAAACCTCATCAGATTCATCTTCCCTGGAAGCACAGATCTCTTGATGCACCCAGTTTGGTTTCAATAAAGTAAATGTCTTTGGTCCTTGTTAATCTATGGCATTGCAGACTTTAGCCAGGGACTGCTCTCAAAGCAACATGAGACAAATATTTGGGTTGCTAATTTATTTTGCTTTTGGTGCCTTAGACCCCCTACCAAAGAAGTCCTAGAATAATATATATCGTTTGTGTGCAAAGTTCAACCTAAAGCAACTCAATAATGAGCACGTTGTCTGGGGTCATCAGCTGAGAGAGGAAACTAAACCTCAGACCTGCTGGGTATGGGGTAGTCTTGGACCTTAATCACTTCCTTCTAGGACATGCTGATAGCCAAATATTTTCTGAGTCAAGCAGTTCATTATTTTGCCTGCTACTGGCTTTGTGTTCTGACTTGTTCTTTCCTTCACCATTTTAGCTTCAAAGATCCATCAGCCTCAAGCTTTTGCTTTTAATAAGTTTGAAGGGGTGTTTGCTCCTGTAATGAACATACAGCTTAAAAGAAGTGAAGCGGTCAAGGAAAATTTTCCTGTTTTCTGGGCAACTTATGGAATGTCTAGCCCTAGTCTGCTTTTGCACGTGTGGGAACAGGTGTGCACTTGTGTGTGCAGATGCACTTGTACACAGACAATGTGTGTGGAGGCCAGAGGTTGGAGTTGAGTATCTTCCTCATTCAGTCTCCACCCTTTACCTTTTCTTTTTTTCTTTTGAACAGGATCTATCACTGAACCCAGAGCTTGCCAAATTGGCCAGATTGTCTGGCCAGTGAGCTCTAGGCTGCCTGTCTTCATTCCTGCAGTGCTCAGATCACAGATGTGTACCTCAGGTCCTCGTGCTTGCACAAGTGCTTTAGGGACCGACCCGTTTCCTACACCACTGGTCCTGTTTCCACTGACGAAGGTTTAGATTTCACTTGAGGGATTTTGATTTATCTGGGATTATGAGTAAAAGTAATAATTTGTTATTTTTAAAGATATATGTATGTACATACATATGTATGTTGTATGTATAAAGTGTTCTGTCTGCATGTATCCCTAATGGCCAGAAGAGGGCACCAGATCTCATTACAGATGGTTGTGAGCTACCATATAGTTGCTGTGAACTGAACTCAGGACCTCTGGAAGGACAGCTAGTGATCTTAACCACTGAGCCATCTCTCCAGCCCAAGTCATAACATTTACTATAGTTGTTATTGTTTTTTTTTTAATCAAAGGAAGAACTTGGAATTTTAAGAAAAGCCACTGTTAAAAGTGGCCTGAGCTAAAGCCAGGCATGGCGGCACATTGATTCCAGCACACAGTAGGTGGGTAGATCTCTGAGTCTGAGGCAGTCTGGTCTCTATAGTGAGGTCCAGTACAGCCAGAGCTATAGAGAGAAATCCTGCCTCGAAAAACAAAGCAAAACAGCAGCTTGAGATCTTCTGTGTGGCATGGCAATGTGCTTAGATTAGATGACTGTGCTCTGCTCTGTGGAATTCCCACACATGGCTGTGGATGGCAGCATCCACACCCACACAGAAAGGAATTAATGCATCAAGTTCAATTCCCGGAAGGTGATATTTTCATATTTGTCTAATATTTCTGAGCAAGTAAAACAAGATAGGCAGAAATTAAAACTTTTTTTTTTAAATTTCAACAAAATACACTTACGTCTTAACCTGCCCAGACTTTTTTTTTTTTTTTTTGAGACAATATCTCACCAGGTAGCTCTGGTTGTCCTGGAACTCACTATGTAAACCAGATGGTCTCAGCCTCACAGAAATCTGCCTGTCTGAGTGCTAGGATTAAAGGCAGGAGCCACCACATGCAGCTGGATTTTGGTTTTACTTGAAGTGATAGTAAATTCAAAGATGTCTGGATGAAGACTAACTTGGATCCCATGCTGAAGATCACCATAAGTTTAAGGCCAGCCTGAAATAGATAGTTTTGTTTGTATTAGACCAGTTTCTGGTGTCCAGCCCAACTGCTCAGGGCTAGGACACATCCAGGGTTTTCCTAGTCCACAGGGTCACACAGGCCACAGTGCAAGATACTAAAAATGTTCCTTGCTAGGACCCAGGCAGTGCTAACTGTGGAAATGGCTGTGCATGTGCCCGTTTCACTGTGACTGTGTTTCAGCTGGTGAAAGATGACTATGAGGACGAGTCCCACGTCTTCCGAAAAGCCGCCAATGACATCACATCCCAGCTGGAGATTAACTTTGGTAGCCTCCCTCGCCCGGGACGGGGAGCCAGAGGCAGTACCCGAGGAGGCCGAGGAAGGATAAGAAGAACAGAGAACTATGGCCCCCGAGCAGAAGTTGTGGTAAGTGGCTGCGTTGCATGGAAGTCCTTTTGGGTTGCTGAAGGGGAGGGAGATTGCTCTGGGCTCCAGCGGTCTGACCTGGGGCCATCTGGAACAATGTCACCTTACCTGATACAAGACACATACTTCCTGCAGTCCTGGCTTGAGGTGGAATCAGGCCACCAGCCATCTGTGTGCCCTCTGCTGGAATAGTACTGCCAGGACAGCCCTCCTTCCAACCCCAGGGCCCTTTGTGACCAGCTGCTCTTTGAACAGCAAGGCTACACCCCAGGTCCTCTCTTTGCACTGTTTCCAGTGGTCTAATGCTGGCTATAGCTGCGTGGGGAAAGGGCAGTCAATTTAAAACCTCTGTTTTCTTTAGACCCAAGATGTCGCTCCCAACCCGGATGACCCCGAGGACTTCCCCGCCCTGGCCTAACAGCCATTCCCCTGCAGCAGAGCAGCACTAAGAAGAGACTTTCCTTGCCGCGAGAAGAGTCAGACTCTAAGAACAATAGATGTTGCTTTTCCCGTGTCGTGTGAACTTGTTGCACTTTCTTGCTCTGTGGGATTTGGAATGCAGGTTCCCATGAGGTCAGGCCCTTCCCACAGATGAATGCAGACTTTTGTAAGGAATAATGTTTAAAATGTGTACATAGATTCCAACAGTTCCACCACAGAAGTACAGAGTAAAGTAAACGAGAACTGCTGGGCCTGGTGGTGCACGCACGCCTTTAAACTCAGCACTCGGAGGCAGAGGCAGGCGGATCTCTGACTTTGAGGCCAGCCTGGTCTACAGAGTAAGTCTTGAAAAAGAAAAAACAGAAAAGAACCACCTATTGAGATGACTTAGGCAGTTGTCTACACAAGTCCTTTAGCATTTCAGGACATAGGTAGAACTGGAGCTGTTCACTTAAAGCAGTCATAGCCCACTCTTCATGCCATTCCCCTGTAATGGTTCAGTTCTGCTGAGAAATTTCCTGCAGTTTTTATTCAGATTCCGACTTTAAACTGTCGTTGTGCACCAGTGATAACCACTCTGAGCAGAGGAAATCCTGGCTTCCAGTGGTGATTTAAACTACCTCGTGGTATGTGTGTGTGCACACATCCTTATTTAGTATATGTGTGCACACTTAATGTTCGGATTGTTAAGTTATGATTTAAAATTGTGTTATTTTAAACTAATCACATGAAAAGGCTTCTTGGTAAATGTATTTTTCTTAAAATTTGTGCTGTGGGCAGTGGTAGTGCATACCTTTAATCCCAGCACGAAGAGGCAGGTGGATCGCTGTGAGTTTGAGGCCAGCATTGTCTACAGAGCAAGTTCTAGGACAGCCAGGGCTACATAGTGAGACTGTCTCCAAAACAAAACAAAAACAAACCCTAAAAACTAGTGTCAGAATTCATTACTGTTACTGTGAACTCAATCCCATTTACCGACTGCAAACACCATGGCAGGCTGCGCCCCAGTTCCTATATTGCTCTTACCACCTTTGGTGGAGATTAGGGATCACCTCAGAGGCACAGTCACTCACCTGGAGTCCCACCCCAAACAGCTTGATACCTAGGGCCAAGCCACTCACCTACTGGCAAAATCAGGGAAGAATCAACCATCGTGTGGGGGAGGGACCAGCTAAGGTGTTGGGCAGCTGTAGAGATGGGGAACAAGGAACCTTGCTCCCAAGACCTGTGCTCCCTGTACTTGGCCTCATAGTCTGAGATGGTGCTGAACTGGAACCCAGGTATAAATGAAGGTTGGTATTCCCTCTGATTTTTGTATAAAAACTGAACTCTCCTGGAGTTTGGATGAATCAAAGTTGAGATGTTTACTTTGGGTGCCCTCTTGCTTCTGATCCCATGTTTATTAAATGAATGAGTACAAAGGTATATTAACCGGCTGCCTTATTCATTCCCTTTCCCTTGGGGCTGGCACACGGTGAGTGCTATGATCTGATTGGAGAAACCTGCATTGATTTTAGTCGTGATTGCTACTGGGGCTGTATGAGAGATGTCTCAGGAAGTCATTCTGCCTCCCCTTGGCTTTGAAGTTGACAAAGCAAGGCTTTCTGTTAAGAACATTCACATTTGAGTTGTGAAGGACACTGGGAAAGCTTGAAGTAATGCTGCCTCAGGTCATATGGTCAAACAGTAGGCAGCCCTGTTTGTTGTAAGCTTTAGCGAAAGGGCCTCCTTGCTTATTTGATGGGGCTTGTGTCCTGGGTCACAGCCTGGGTGTTGCAGAGAAAAAGCCATTAGTAAGATCATTCCACGTGGATGCATATCCAGAACAGGACCTAAGCTCAAAGTTAACAGCCAGACTCGTCATGAGTCTGTGCTGGTACCTTAAAACCCAAGCAGATAAAACCCCCCAAAAAACAAGAAACCTAGTCTCTTAGAAGTGGGAGGCAAGGCAGGGGTGGCCTGTGTGTGTCACTTCTGAACCAAATGGTTTCAGGCATCTGAACTGAGTTGAGGGCCCATGGCCTGGCAAAGGACTTCTGCTTGCCTCACTGGGACATGAGCATGAGCCATACCAACATGTCTAAATAGGAAAACATGGTTGTATCAGCTGTTTCCTGGGTCTCTGGATGGATGGCTTAAGACACTTGTGAACTACAACTGCTGTGCTAGGAATGTCTGCTGCAAGGGCCAGGCATACACTGTCCTGACAGCGCTTAGTTCCTCACGTAGTGCAGGCAAGGCTGGAACAGCTAGACCCTGTCTCAAGGTGGGGAAACTGACCATACCCTACTGTGAGCATGGGCTGTCCACGGCAGTGCTGTGAGGAGAGGCACGGTCTGCCCATGTTTCATCCTGCTGCTGCTGCCGCTGCCGCCTGCCACCCAGCTTACTGTGAGGATCAACTTACCAGGGTCCAATCTGACCCTGGTCTGACCAAGTGGACCCCGAGCACTGAGAGCTTGATGAGCCACTGTTCTGTAGTCAGTGATAATAGGAATGGATTAAGAAAAAGACAGGTCCACCTGAAACCTTCCTTAAATAGATGCAGAACTTTTTTTTTGGTTTTTCGAGACAGGGCTTCTCTGTGGCTTTGGAGACTGTCCTGGAACTAGCTCTTGTAGACCAGGCTGGCCTCGAACTCACAGAGACCTGCCTGCCTCTGCCTCCTGAGTGCTGGGATTAAAGGCGTGCGCCACCAACGCCCGGCTTTAAATGCAGAACTCTTGATGGCCAAAGTGTACACCAAGACACTTTCCCTCAGGCACCATTCCTGACCCACCAGAACTGCTACTGAAAGGACACCGTGCAACTCAGACCCCACAGGTATGGGTGCCCCCAACACACTCCAGTTACACCTTCTCTTGGGCACCTGGGCATCTTTGAAGTCTGAAGGATGGCCCTTCCCTCTGTGGCAGAAACGTGGGTTGTCTTGGAGGACATCTGTCCCTGTAGGTGCCTGGTCACCTACAGGTAGGTAACCAGAAATGGGAAGAGCTTAAGGTAGACAGACAGAAGCATCGTTTCGCTCCCTGAGCCCAGTGTTCTTTCTAGGCACTGCCATTGAAAGACCTCACTGGGATGTAGGAATCCCTGCACACTTCTGTTTTAGCCCCTGCCCCCAAGGGCCACCACCAGAGAGGTGCTGGGGTAGACTAGGGGCCAAGCTCTGCTCCTGCCACAGCCTTGAGGGTGAGTCAGGCTTAAGGTCCTAGGGGCTCCTGCTAACTCAGCCCCATCCATCACCGCTTGTCTCCTGCTCTAGAACTTTTGCTCAGGACACAAGGCTTCCAGTGACTTGGTAATAGGAATGTCCCTAACTAAACAGGTGCCTACAACCCAGAGAACCACCCTGTGGGCTAGCAGGTCCAGTCAACAGGGCAGAGCATGCCTTCCAAGCATTCTTTGCCAAAAAAAGACTCAGTTCCTGATGGCTGACTGTAGCTGGGAACAAAGCAGCATTTGTTAAGTCAAGGAGAAGGCATCCCTGAGAGTTGTCAAATACTAGAGGTACCAAGGGCACCTGTGTGGTCCTTGGTGATAAACCCCAGAATTGCACTGGTGGCCCACTGAGACACTAGCTGATGTATTCAGGAATGCACACTGGTAATGAATGGGGCCACAGGTTTTTGGAAGGGGAAAAAGGGAATGAATACCAGGTGGTCTATGAGGGAAGTAAACCATGATCAATGTGCACACACCGGGATTTCCACTGAAGCTTGAGGTAAGAGACAAGTAGGTGTTGCACACATACCCCAGTGTTGTCTCTCGGGCCTGCTGTGCATCTGTGGTGCCAGTCACACTGCTGGGGAGGTTGAAGGTCTTTTGCCCCCAGGAGGGCAAGCTCCTGCCCTGAGAGGTCTCAAAAGTGGCACAGCCCTACCAGACTTGGAACTGAGCAGCTACCCCAGCCAGGGCTGTCAACTTGGCCCCCTTCTCTCCCACCAACACAGCTGATGTGACACCCAGTGGAAATACTGGAAGAATGAGACAGACACATTTGCTGGGTGGCTGAGGCACCAGCCTGAGAAAACAGGCTTACATTGCATAGGGCGAGGACTCCCAGAGAGGAGAGCAGCACTGTAGTCAGGAGAGACCTCCAGAGGGCTGGGCCCTGCGGATCCCGAGCCACATCAAAAGCCGGTCTAGAAAGGTTACAGCCCGAGACAGCCAGCCATCACTGGAAAAGGAGGAGATGGTTAAGCTGTTTTCAAGTATGTTCTCAACCCTCAGCCCAGGGTGAGCCACTGTGCTCATGGCAAATAACCAATAAGACTCATGCAGAACTGTCACTCCAGATGAGTAAAACCCTTCAGAGGCCACCGCTAGCTCTCCTTCTCATCCTGTCCTGTCTAAGGTGTTCCCTGTGTCCTCCAGCTGAACCTAGGCAGACCTTCCCCAGCACCAGGGGATAATAGACGCAGATTACTATGAAGATATCTAGGGTGAGACAGGAAGGTAGTTTACTAGACAACCTGAAGCCCACCTTGGAATCTTGGCCCTTAGAAGCTCTGCTTCTGCACTGTCTCTAAGTGACGTCTGTTTCCCTTCCCACTGGTCTTGGGCCAGAGCAGAAAGAGGAAGGATCCCTGGAGTGCTTGGACAGCTGCTTTGATGCTTCCAACAAAAACTCTATACGCACTTAGCCATTCTGGAGTGGGAGTGGGGGGGGAGGACCACAGAAATGGTGTAGGAGGAGACTGGGGCTGGCCAATGGCTGGGAGCCTGGCTGGCACTGAAGTGTGGGTGGAACTGCCAGACACAGACTCACACAAGGAAGAATTGTCCTATCTGAAAAGATTTGTTCCACAAGCATGCTCCCAGTTAAGGGGGCACCCAGCCTGTACCTCCTCCTCTGCCTTCTACCCAGAGCCTCCGTTGAGAAAATGCGCTGCTCTGCGGGGACACTAGTAAACACTGATAGCAGGCAGCCCTGTAAGACCTGGCTCTCCAGGCCAAGGGTTTCCTTACCTGGTCACTTCCGTTTGGACAGAACACTGGTCATCCAGAAGCTCATCAAAGCTATGCAGACTTGCTGACAAAGAGACGAGACTCAGTTAGAAAGAAGGCAAGGCTGCAGGTGGTGGTGCAGGGCGGCACATAAAGACAGACAGACAGACAGACAGACACACACACACACACACACACACAACCAGTCCCCTCAAGAGGAGCTGGGGAGGAGACTATAGATTGCCAAGAAGGGTCCATTTTCTTCCCCTGACAAGCATGATAGAAACAGGGTCATATTGTGCCAGTCACCAAGAACAAAACATTTCAAATCTGGATAAAGAAAGATGACATGGCCTCGGTGCTGGGGGTCAATGTCCTATTTTACTAAACAGCTCATCTGTGTCTCAGCAGCTGCTAATGAGAGCTGTCATCATCCACTTGAAAAGCATTATAGCAATACTTTCATTTTTTTTTTAAAACTGAACAAAGGGCTGGAGAGATGGTTCAGCCATTAAAAGGCTAGGCTCACAACCAAAAATATAAAATTGAACATAATACAGATTAGTACATGCCATGCACTTTCACTGACTCAACCCCAATCAATAGTAAGTGGTCAGAGCCAAGTTTTACACTCAAGACAGTCTGGACCCTGGATGGTTCTGTCAAACTGCTCCTCTATACAGGATATTTGCACTTGCTTGAAAACTGGCTTTGCCTTTTTTTGTTTTGTTTTTGAAAAATTCATTAATAGTATTCTGACTACATGTATACCTGCATGCCAGAAGAGGGCACCAGATCTCACTACAGATGGTTGTGAGCCATCATGTGGTTGCTGGGAATCAAACTCACAACCTTTGGAAGAACAGCCAGTCCTCTTAAACTCTGAGCCATCGCTCCAACACACCCCCTCCCTGAGTTTCTCTGTGTAGCTTTGGAGCCTGTCCTAACACTCACTCTGTATACCAGGCTGGCCTTGAACTCACAGAGATCTTCCTCCAAGTGCTGGAATTTAAGGTGTGCACCACCACAGCCTGGCCCTGCTCCTTTAAATGGAAATGTTTGTGTGTTGTTAGGGAGAGGGGGATGTGCACCCCGTGGAAGGCCGAGTCAGTTATTTCCTTTTACCTTTATATGGGTTACAGGATAGATCTCGGGTCATCAGGCCTGTGTGGTAAATGCCTTTACCTGTTGAGCCATCTTGATAGCCCCTCTGCCCAGCTTTCCACTCACACACCCCTTCCACAGGACTCTGAACAAGCCACTCCCAGGGACTTATTTGCATTGAGTGTATTTCTACCTTCAGGCAAAGATAGTGTGAGCTAATCACACCATCCAGGTACATGAGACTACATACCAAAACTATAAGAAACAGAAGGGGCATAATCTACTAAAATCAGTCTTTACATTATTATTCAACTGTGATAAAAGGTACAAAACAATCTATACACATCTGTGTTCCATTGTGTTGAAAATGCTTTGCATGAATTGTTTCATTTGGTTCACTAACTTCTAAGGGGAGGTTTTCCCCCCCCTTATCCCCACTTCATTTAGGAAACAAACAGCAGAAGTATAGATAATACTACACAGTGTGGCTCTGGGCCACACAGAAACCAGATAACCCTGTATCTGAGACATAGGATACAGAGGGCTTGCTTTCTCTAGTCCTGACAGATCTGCAGCCAACCTGCAAGCCTACAGGTCCCACAGCCTATTGTTCTTGAGTCTTACTCCAGGTCATTAATCTCTTAAGTTGTTCGAACTGGCAGAGAGGTGCATGTGGAGTGATTTCACAGCAGACACCCCTCACTCACTCACCTCCTATGCCCCCTAAGGTTTAAGTCCCGCAGCCTTAACCCTTCTGTATCTTCCAACTGGCTACATCTAGAGGCAGGACCTTTATTTACAGAGGTGAAGGTAAGCCACTACAATGGCCCTAATTCAGTCTAACCGGTAGCCTTATATTTTTGGTTGTGAAGACTAGCCTTTAACAGCTGAGCCATCTCTCCAGCCCAACAGGTAACCTTATAAGACACACCAGGGACGGGCAGGTTCAGAGGAATGGCTCTGTGAGGAGGGTCCATCAGCAAGCCAAGAACAAAAACCACAAGAGAAACCCACCCCGCTGACATCTTGGTCTTAAGCTTTGCATTTCTGGCACTAAGGGAATATATTCTTCTTTCCTTGCCCCGCCCAGTCTGAGGTATTTGGTTATGATGTCCCTTGCAAGCTAAGAATTAGATCCATTTTATACTTAAATTACTATCTACTGGACATGCTCAGTAACTGAAAGCAATAAGCCAAAAACTGTTTGATATTTTTAATTATTTGATTGTAAATTATACAATTTCTACCATTTAGTATTTTGTATAAAACCATTTTACAATACACAAGATTTTCAAATGCAACAAGAAGTATCAAAAACTACATATATGTGCCAAGTTTACAGGCTACGGTGAAGCGTTATCTTAAAAATACCTTCAGGAGAATAAACATCCAACCAGTTCTCTTAGCTTTAAAAAATATGATTAGAAATATACAATTTAATAAAATATCAAGACAATAATTGATCAAATACTGATTACACTTTAAAACTTCACTTAATCGTCTGTACATGAGTGTACAATAAAGTCTTCAAACAATGAGTGTAAAACCGCAGTACTTTAATCTGATGGACAGTCTATCCACAGTGAATTCTATTGGATCATTAAGGAGGTAATTTCTTCTACAGTATAGGCAAGTCTTTTTAATACATCTGTAGTATTTCCACTCAGTAACATGGGGAACGCTCAGATTCAAGGAGAAATGCAAGAGCAGTGACTAGGACATTTCAGTGGGAGAGAAATCTTAAAGAAAATGGGTTTAAGGTTTCTGATCAACTGCTTCCTAAAATGTGGTAAGAACTTTCAGAAAATATCCGAAGAAAAGCAGCTATTACTTCTAGAACATATACCAAACGAACAAATACTTGTCACAGACAGTGATTCAAGCTAACGGAGGACTAAGGAATTCTAGGCACAAGTTACCCAGAAACCTGGAAAGGTCTGCTAGACCTGCAAATGCTCAACGAGCCTCATGAGAACACTTGGGAAAGCCTCTATGACCTGTCGGGGCCCAAGCCAAGAGGTAGAAGCCACCTGTAGGGGAGAGGTGGTAGGGCATGGAGCAGGACAATGGATAGATTTTTGGGGACCAAGTTAAAGCTAGTAAGTTCTGAAGAAGAGCAGCATGTGGTCATGTTAGATAAATGTTGCTACCACTGAATGTGGCGCGGCTCAGGGCCCATCCTTCTTGCCTCATGGCAACAGAGCTCTAATTGGGCCTCAAAATTGTATTAATCTGTCTGCAAGTCCTAAAGCCCAGCTTTGCAAGCATTCCTCTCTTGAATTCTGGGTGGTCTGGGTCCCCCAAAAGCTTCAGGGGCACCTATACATATACTTTCCTATTTTAATTTTGCTGGAAGAGGACTTGATGTACTTTCAAAGTATTTAAAGTTCTTAAGTTAAAGAGGCCCCTCCATCCAACATCTACTGGTTCATGCTCTGTAGCAACAGGGTCTTCTTATCCCAGAAGGTTCTGGGTAGTTGTAGCTGAGGAGGAATTGTCCACTAATTCACAGCAGGAAGGATTTTCCATTAGTCAGACCCAGACTTCCTGGATCCTATATGTCACCAGTCAGTGCTGGTGACTGTCCATCCCCAGAGCTCTATCACCTCAGCATCTGGAGCAGGTTTCCCTGGCAATGTGTCCTAACCAACTCATGTTTCCTTCATCAAGAGAGTTAAATAGGGAATTTTAGCAAGAGCCACAGTGGTAGCAATTCTAGCTGAATGGAGCCACCAACACAAAGGGGCAGCAATTTCTAAAAAGCACTGAGGTTATCACTGAAGCCCAAGTGGGTTATTCCCAAACTCAATCACCATGAGCCACGGTGGGCAGGCCCCGTGCACCCATCCTGATACACTGAGGACGAATTCAGCTTGGTTCAGATGGAAGTGAGGTTTCCAAAGCACTAGCTTATTCAGGGGAGAAAGACCCATCCTGAGAAGTTGCTATTTTATACTCGGGTGCAGTTTGATTGAGCATTATCAGTAAATGAAATGTTTGTCCTCCTACCTAGCTCTTAACTGGCTTTCTCTAGTGTTTAAAAGTTGACTGGGGAGGAGCTCTTTGTGTGGATTCTACATTGACATCCTCGGGCTCCCAACCCAATGTCAGCCAACGCCACAGTTTGAGGACAGAAACAGTGAAACGGGGGACCCACTGCCTTTCAATTTTTTTTTCACTTACTAGACTTTAACCTGTTTGTTCCAACTACCAGGAAGGTAGCTTTTCAAGTGGGATTGCCTGCTCGCCTGACACATTCATCTGTCTTAGGAAGGCATTGGCTTTCAATGGCTTTCCATATTGCATTTCTCCAGTCTCCAGACTGGAGAAAGACAAAAACCATTATCCTCTATTGTGGAAGTAACCAAGACAACTGTTAAGTATTCTCTAATTATTGGCTCAATCTTTTTCTTTTTGGCAGCAGATAAATTCTGGTTTTGCAATTGCTTCATGGCACAAGTGCTGCTGGCTTCCAGCAAGGGAGAAGAGAAAAGGCACGCTACAGTTTCTAGTCATATTCCCTAACCAAAGGCAACAGTGAGTTCTCTTACACAAACAACCTAACTCCAGAAGTGAGCGATTGTCACTAACATCAAACTGTGAACCACAAGAAACTCCACAGCATTACAGAGCAAGACTTTACAAAGGGTTAACAATTTTGTTTTTTAAAGCCACCATTACTTAGGATGCTTTTCCAAAGACAAACATCAGCACTGCTGTTTGGTTTTAATGTATGGGAGGAAACACAATTCTAACATGACTGAGCAACCCAACGTCCCAGCCCTGAAATCTTCAAGATACAAGGAAGGACTTATGTAACCTTTCAACCGAGAAAAGGTTCAATTGCTCTATCAACATTCGTTAGCAGGTTTTAGTAACCGCAACAACACGTAACAGTGTTTAAATGCAGTTTTCACAGATTGTTATTAAAGCACTCTTTGGTGAAAGACAAGCAGCTTGGGTACTTCACACAGTGAACATCCCAACAATATTAACAAGAGTAAAGTGAAACCGATTGTACCAAATCCTGTCTTAAGACAGAGGATACCACTGGAGGGACGCTCATCTCCTTTCATCTTTATAAATTGCAAGCCGGGGGTGGGGTGGGGGGTGGTCACAGGCTGAACAAAAAATAAATACCCAAGAGTCCTCCATCAGATCCTCCACTCTTCTGAAGGCGAGCAGCAAACACGATTGCCATCACAGGAACACACATGTACCACACTCACCAGACAGCTCTCTGGCGGCACAGGGCCAGGTATTGACACCTGAGACTAAACTTACAATAGCAGTTTTTGTCCAACTGGAGATTACAGAAGGGAGAGTCGGGCCCTCAAATGGTTCAACCAAAACCCAAAGTCAGCAAGCGGCTGAGAGGCCGATTGATGTTTTCTTCATTGAATGGACGTCTTATGTGGAAAGAAACTAAGGCCTTTTGCAGGGTCTGTTTTGTTCTCAGATCGATTGGCTAAATCCTGTTGGGGCATTTCTGCCTGGTCTTGCCTGGAGTGCCGGTCACCGGTTTTTTTTTTTTTAACTTTAACGCAAGACTGTCTTAGTCCTTGAAACGGCTGGACTGAGGAGAAAAAAAAAAACAAACAAAAAGATTTACTATGGGTATTTTCAAGGGCCTCAGAGGGAGTTTTCAAAAACAAGGAAGGCAACATAACGAGAGCGCTGACATGCGAAGAATGGCATACTGGGTGTAGTTATCTGACATTCTTTGGAAGAGACAGGACAACATCAACCATAAAGACAAACATGAGAGGAAGGCAAGGCAGATCAAAGTTCAAATTTCATTTTAAAAAAAAGCAACAGAAATAAACAAAATAAACAAACACAAGCAGGCACAGGTGCAGGCAGCAGAGCGAGGCAAGGTACCATAACGCCAGCACGGGCATTTGCTGCAAAGCACTCCTTCTCCTCCTTTCCCTCCAAGGAGCCAGGCTGTGGGGAAAGAGGAAAGAAGGAAAAGATAAAGAGGGGTTACTGAGTGGTGTCAAGGCCAGAATTTGGTCACAGAAAAAAGCTCCAGCGCCACAAGCAGTTTCTAGTTTCGGCAGCCCCACCTTCTCAGGGTTCTTGACCTGTCTTGTCTGTAAGGAGATTTGGGCAGGGACAGCCAAGGGCCCCTCTGGGCACACCAGAAATCAACCAACCTCATTCACCCTTCCTCTCTTCCTCCCACAATGTGTTGTTACACTTTAAAACTCATCAGCAACTTTCAGAGAGAAAGGCAAAGAGAGTGAAAAAGAAAAAGGAAAGACAAACTCATCGACAAAGCTACTTCTGATCTGGAGGTGAGCCTCACTTGGCTAAGAGAAGGCTCTTCTCAAGCGGACGTGTAGTTTTTACAGTATTGCCCACAAAGACAACTGGCAGGTCTAACCAAATGGAAATATACCTGGAATTCCAAAGGGACATTAACTATTTTAAAGTTCAGAGGGAACCAGCACTTAAAAAGAATAGAGAGATCCTGGGACTCCTGGAGATAATGACGGAGGAAGCCATGGAATAGGAACCAGGAGCTGAGACCCTGAGAGTTGTGATGCAAAGACAGGAAATACGGCCATGAATTTCACAGCAAAGACTTAGAATGTCCGAGAAGTACAAGTAGGGACTCCCAGGTGAGATGCTCACAGAGAGGCTTATTTATGGTTTGGATAAGTAAGAAGGACCCCGAGCATCACACACTGTAACAGGATAACAAGGTACAAATTACCCCAGGCCAGAGGCAACAGGGTGGTTTGTTGGCAGGAGAAGAGTGATGGTTCCCAAAGACAACTTTAAAGGTCAGTTGGACATGTCGGATTTTAAGAACATGGGATGAAATAGTTGAAAAGGAAAAAGACTGTCCAAAAGAAACTTTAGAAGCTTCCAGAAACATGCAGTGAAGAAGTAAACTGAGAGCAAATGGTCCAAATGAGACATCTGCCAAGTCCTTCACTTGGAGGTGAGATCTGATAGGCAACTGATTCTGAGACGGCACTACAGAGTTCCAATTCATTTACTCGATTGTGAGCTGTTACAATGGATTTTTTGGTCCCGATAGGAAGCCAAAGGCGTGGAACCCACAAAACTTCCTTCTGAACCCGACAAATGAGAAGGAGCCACACAGAGCATTATCATCGTTGCAGGAGCCAAACCTCTCCATCCCACACAGGCTGTGAGCTCCACGCTGTCTGGGTGAAGCTTCTGACCAAATGGACACATGGCATGAGAAGCACAGTGGTCTTTGTCTTCCGATGACAAACGCCTCTACCCTAACTCGCCCACCTTTCTCAGCCCGTTCTCTTAGGATTTGTTGGGGGAGAGTCTCTGAAGTTCAAGTGTCTCTTGGCAAAACGTCAAAATCCAAGAATCAACTCAGCGCCACGTGATGTTGCGAAGAATTTCCATCCTGGAAGCCTCAGGAAACAAATGGGAACGAGGGGATGAGATTCCCACGAACCACCTTGAGAGATGTGTGAGTGCATGGACCACCCAGAGAGATGCATGACGCTAGACAGGTAACTGAGAAAGCCTCTTCTACAAGAGCCAGCCCTGGTGAGCCTGTATCCGAAGGTAGACTCAGAGTGCAATTTTTATTTTGACTGTGGTTCTTGGGGAGGGGGGAATATATTATTTAAAGAGAAGAGAATTACCCAACTTCTTCAGCTGGGTTAGATTATATACCAGTGTTTAATATCTTCCAACCAAAAGCTGAACTTTATTCAGCAGACACAAGAGGCTGCAGGTTGGAAGTCTGATTCTCCTCATTTTCTAGAAGTAATGCAATGACACACACAGTTGTGTGCCTTTCTTTTGTAAGCTGGAGGTGATAATAGTTAACAGAATATGAATAAAAGGCACAGCAGCCCCAACCCTGATTCTTTTTGTTTGGTTCCTAATACTACCCCCGAATTCCTGAAAGATATTTTGGGACAGTTCATTTAGCCCAGCTTATTTAGCCTGAAGACAGCTTAGAATACTCAGCACACAGTCCAGGTCCTTGGGAGTGGCTCACTAAAAATCAGAAACCACTCTCCCGAGAGGACAAGTGAGGGTCAAAAGAAAGACATGTGACACCAAGAGACCCAGATTGAAAGACTGTTGCACAATCAACCCTCCTCTGTGGAATGTGGCATGGTGTGATTCAAAGCTCGGCTAGAACTCTGCTTCTCAGGATCAAATGAGCACGTCTTCCTGGACTGTAATGGAAGTATGATCGCTTAGACCTGAAGAAGGTGTCGATGATGCCAACATCAGCACCATGCCTTCTGACTGGTTGTGGTTGTTTTGTTTTGAGATAAGGTCTCACGATGTAACCCTGGCCTGGACCTTGCTATGTAGATCAGGCTCCCTGCCTCCTGGGGGCTGGGATTACAGGCCACCACTCCTAGGACACTTTTGACAACCTGACTGCTCATACCATTTCCTCAACTTAATGGAAACATTGTAATCTAAGACCTTAACTGTCCTACCAACCAGAACTGAGAAGCATAGGAGTTTGCTTGTGCTTCATTTGTATGCAATTTAGAAATCTGCCAAAAATTACATGACAACATATTTTTCTATATACGGCATAACGTATATGTACAAATTGGAGTTATACCTCTAAGTTTTGCATGGGACTTTTACTTACTTCTTACGTTTCTTCAGAAGCATTTATAAGTTAACAAATTTCCTTTTAAGACATGACTCGGGTTGGGGGTTTATCTCACTAGTGAAGCGCTTGCCTGGCCCACGTGAACCCGATTTCCAGCACCAGCACTATCAATCATTCAGTAAATACAAGGAAGGCTCCTGATTCATCTCCTATTTTTCTCCAACCCTTGGAGGCTGTGTACACCTAAATCTAACCTTTTGTCAGTGTTCTAGTTTTCCTGTCAAGTTGGACCCACAGAATAAAAGGAACACGAATACTTAATCTCTAAAAATTTCAAATGGGCCGGGGAGGCAGTTCTACAGGACCCAACCTTGAGTTCGGCCTCAGCGTCCTCGACAGCCACCTGACAGCTGCCAGTACTCCAGCTCCAGGAATCTAATGTTCCCTGGCACCAACACTCCACACACAGTGCCTGCCTGACAATTCTCAAGAACCCATGCAGGTTTTTTTTGCCCTGTTCCGAAGACTCTAGTTCCATAGTGAAATTTTATAAGAGACTCAGCAACAAGGAAAACCAACAAAACACAAAAAGCATTAGAACCCCGAGTCCCCGAGGCTCTTGGACCTCACCAGGGACAAAGTGACACTAAGTACTAAGGGTGAAAGCCTCCAACAAAAGGACAGGGGAGTGGTAAAGAGGCAAGGAGAATGCAGAATCTGGCCCCAATTAAGCCCAGAGCTACCCATTTTAAAGTGAAGCATCACCATGCCAAGTGAGGACGTGTGAGTGCCTGCTTTCTATGGCTTGGAAACAGCAATGTTGTGGTCTGCTCTTCTCTCATCAGGGGCTGGGTCTCAGAATGTCTCAAGAATTACACGTTTGCCTTTGGCTTGTGACAAACATCCAGAGACACTGGAAAATTTCCTCAACAGAGCCTATCGTAAATGAAAGAAGTGACAACTGAGGAGACAGAAGAGGAAGCAGAAGCAGGTCTCGGACAGGGCATGGAGAACAGGCATCAGGCCTAGAGGCTCAGGCTCTGCCAAGACTCACTGAGCTGTACCCGACAGACATGAAGGACTTCCTCCTGATGGAGCACTCTGGAAAAAGTCCTAGGACAACACCCTCAGCCTCCAAGTATCAACTTTCCCATCTCATGCCAGAGACCACACTTCTATTATAAGGAATTTCCTCTGGACAGCCAGGAACACACGAGCCTCCATTCTCAGAGCCTCCACCTTCCTATCTTCACGTCAGTCCCAGAAGCAGGGTCAAAGGAATAAACTGGAAACAAACGGGACCTAGTAGGACTGTTGTCTCACCTTTTAAGACTGCTTTTCCCCGAAGCAGATCTGGTGGTTCGTTTAGTAATGCCTGCACTGCCAGAAAGGTTAGGTTCAGGGGTTTTACAGCTCTGAACACTGGACTGAAGAATTACTCTGGAAACAGTTGGAAAAAGGTAAGATTACATTCACTAAAACAACTTTTAAATAGTTGACAAAGGAAGGCAATTTTGTACTTTGGTATAATTGTTTTGCAAATTGAAGAATTTTCCACAATCACATTTGCCACTTATACACGAAAACCAACCTTGAAGCACGTTTTTATACCAAGCACCTCATCTATCTTTGAAAGTTATTCGGAGGTGACCAGGGTGCTTTGCTTTTGGGAAACAAATGATTTGGCATTTTATGCAATTCACAAACCAAAGCAATCTATTAGTCAAACCTGTCAAAGCAGAGTCTTGGATTTCATTCACAATGTCAAGTCATAAATTCCATGCTTTAAAGTGTTTCAATATAAAATTAGCAACCAACTATATAATATTCACTGGTCAGAGCAGAAAGTAGATATAATAAACAGCAAGGTACTAATAATTTTATATGCCAATGAAAATTTTAAAAACATCCAAGCAAAATTTCAGTTTTGTCTGCATCATAACTATTTACTAAATCTTTACTTAATCACTTAAATGCTATGAAACTTGTCTTAACTAAAATCTAAAAGCCTTCCCATAAGCCAGGTGGTGGTGGCACACACGCCTTTTAATCCCAGCACTCGGGAGGCCTGGCCTACAAAGAGCTAGTTCCAGGACAGCCTCCCAAGCCACAGAGAAACCCTGTCTCGAAAAACAAAAACAAAAACAAAAAGGGGCCTTCCCATGACAGAAGACTTCCCAGGAGGAAAAACCATAATCAGGCCACAGAGCACGCTCTCCATAAGTAATCCTCATTAAACTGTCAGAGGAAAAATAGCAGAAAACATCAGAAGATGTTGGCAGGCAAGTCTTTGCTTCAGAACCACACACATTCATTTATGTCCATCAATGTTTGCTAAAGGAAGGAGAAAACATTGACTTAAAAGCTTCCTCCTTTCAGAGTCAAACTACAATCGGGAGAGCCTGTAAGAGCCCAGCTCCAGAGAGTAAACATAAGTGACTTCAACTAAGGAGGAGCCTGCTTCATGGGCCTGTCATGACCAAGGTAACTGACAACTGTGGCCCACCATTGTTCTGAAAGCTCTGCAACTTCATAGGCAACCTAGTCCTGATGGAATCTGCCCATGTCAAAAAACTGATCTGAAATGCTCTTAAGCAAAAACAGTAGGTGCACAGACAAAGGTGACTCAAGAAGGATCCAACAGCCCTAAGACATGAACCCAGTTCCTCAAAACAGGGTATTTAAGAAATGACCTAACAATTTAGCATGCATATAATAATTGTGCGCATTCGGGCATGAGGACTCGCTTTGATATGTGCATGTGTAACGTAAGATGGAGTAGCTGGGTAAGATGGAGTAGCTGGTTGGGGCAATCAGTGCCTCCTTTATCATCCCTAGTGCCGGCACCCTTCAAAGCCCCCTCTCCTAAAAATTCTTTTAGTTCTCAATCACAGTTATGCTATACTGGGCCATACAGAATATTAACATTACTTCTCCCATCCAACTGCTAACATTTCTTTCTGCTAATACAAATCTAGGAGGAAATATTTATTTATCTCTCTTAAGGGTATGAATCTAAATTGCATAAAGGCACCAAATCCATCTGATTTTTCTAAGTTTCTGGGCAGTGTGCTGATTTTCCTCTGCCCTTCTTGACAAGGGAGAAAAATGAGACTGGGTTTTTTTTCTCCATTTCAGACCATCTTGGGTCAAAAGCATGGGTAACCACCATACTATATCATTAGCACAGGAAACAAAACAAAACACCAAGAAACCAGTGCCTGCTCAGGAGATCTGCTCCCGATTTCTTAAAATTACTGAAAGTTTAAGTGCCACACAAAATGAAGAACAACTCGTTCAAGAAGTTACTTTGTAGGTTGACTGAAAATGTATCTTTAGAGCATTAATTTTTCTATAAAATAGTGTAAATGAATGTGAAATAGTGATATTAGTGGTTACTAGTTTCTGTGGAGCTTTGAAGCTCAGAAGGAAATTTAGCATGCATTCATCACACCAGAAAGGCCTCGGGTTATCTGACTTAAGTGGGCAGTCAGCACACCAATACAGTGGGAAAGCTCCAGGGCTGACTACGGTTGCATACTACCAGCAAGAGGCTAAACTGGCTCAGACAGGGCGAGGGAGCCAAACTCAAGTGTTTCTCTCTGCCACCTGCCCACCTCACGTGGTTTTCCCCATGCAATACACAGAATATTCACTCTTCTATCTTCCCCAGTGAAATTTGCATTGGTCTTTCTTACCTTGTGCCCAAACCATAGACCACTGCCTTCTCTGTTATGCCCTAGCAGCTCCAGATTTGGACAGTGAAAATGTGAGACAAGCAGCCAAGTTAAAAAACACACAAACAAACAAACCAAGTGTCCCTGATGGCTTTCTAAGGGACCACTGCCATAGAGCTTTTCTCTAGTGGCACTCTCCCCCACGCACCCACTAGACACAGAACATTAAATGCTTTCTGGTCTTAGGCTCCAGGACACCAGCTAATGGATTCTTAATGGTTGCTAGGCAAGGCTCTCTCTTCTCTCTCACCAGCTAACAGCAACGGCCAATCACAATGGAGCAGTGAACTGTCACCCACAAATTAAGCCTCTTAGGAAGAATGGGACAAGGAACTAGTGGCTACAAAGATCACACTTGTTACTTGCCTCAGGTACAGAAAGGCTTTTGCTTTAAGTTCAAGTCAGTAGGTAGGCTAAATGGAATGCCCTGCTTAGGTCCTGAATTGTGGTGGGGACACCAGCTACAGGTGACTTAATTCTTGCAGAGGACACTGAGGAGGAAATACCCAGCAGAAGCAACATTTAAGCTGAAGACATTTGAGCCTTGAAGACAAATATTATTAGCAACAACTCCACCCATTCAGAACATCTTGGCCCTTTGGAACAGTCTGAGAAAAATAAACTATAAAAGGCATCACTACTCTTCAGTCAATAGATTATAAATAAATAAAGATTCTACAGAATCCTAAGTGAATATGAGACTATAAACTCACCATATTCAAGGAAATGCCATAAGTAAAAATGTGTTCAGTGGGTTTTCTTTCTTTTTTGGGGGGGGGGAGAGGGGATTTTCTTTCTTAAAGAGTGGACTTGCTGGGCATTGGTGGCGCACGTCTTTAATTCCAGCACTCATGAGGCAGAGGCAGGCGGATCTCTGTAAGTTTGAGACCAGCCTGGTCTATAAGAGCTAGTTCCATGACAGCCTCCAAAGCCACTGAGAAACTCCCATCTCGAAAATCAAAAAAAAAAAAAAAAAAAAAAAAAGAGTGGACTCAGATTCATTTATCATTTACTTCAGTCATATGAAAACACTCAACAGAACCATAAAGGACCAGGGTTGGTTATAATGTACTTATACTTTGAAGAGATCCTAGAGGGGAATTCTGCATACTTTGGTAATTTCTACGTCCAAGCACGACAAGAAAAGTCATTTCTGGGATGAGCAGAATAAAGGTTATGGGAGTGAGAAAAAAAAAAAAACCAGATATGGAGTGTTGTTGTAGGACATGGTCTCCCTGTGTGTGCCTTAACTGTAGTGTTCCACACAGGCATTTCCTGCCACATTTTGCCGAAAAGAAGATGACAGACCTCAAGAGACCACAAGCATGTATACATAACCTAATAAAGATAGTCTAGCTACTTTTGGGAAAGCAGAATCCAGAGACTGTACATGAGCACAAAGCCAGCTCCCTGCCTCCTAGTTTCACTTAACATAGAGGAAGACGTGCCATGAGAGTGGATGGCTCTACATACCAAAGACAGGCAGGTGACTTGAAGAGAGCTGTTCCATGGGCAGAAATCAGGCCACAGTCCTCACTAGCCCTCAATGCTGCAAAACCCAATCTTTGGTAAAAGAAGAAATGGTGAGAAAACTCTTCTGACTGGAGAGACAGTCAAGGTACAGAGAATGAGAGGTGTTCACAGCCCCGGTAGAAAGGAGACCAGACTAATTAGCCCAAGCTACCTAAACATTTCTGACAGGAAAGAAAACTGTTCCAATGCCCATATTTATAAATAACTAGTAAAACTTTAAAAAAAAAAACAGGTGTTATTTTTAACATCCTTGGCTTAAAAGAATCACTGATGACCTCCCCCAACTCCTACCATCGCATTCATAGAAAAGATTAAGAGAGAGGACCCTGGAAAATAAGCAAACCAAAACAGCCAGGAGAGCCGGAAGGAGAAACACATGCACCTTGAAAACCACGCTGGACAAAACGGGGGGAGGGGGGAAGGCAAGAGGGAAACAGTACAGGAAACTTACACAGCAAAACTATCTGCAAAGGGTCCGGATGGCTACTGTGTTCTGAAGCCATCAAGACAGAACAGCAGGGTGGGAAGAATGTAGTCACACACAATCCACCAGATGGCAAGACTACACAGTGCAGAAGTCAGCACAGCTAGGGGACATCTGGAAAGGACGGAAGGGGAAAGAACAGATGTTCACATAGGAAAGCCAAAATAAGTCATGTAATAAAATACACAGGGCCACCTGTAGCTTTAAGACACCCTAAAAGTCCCAGAGCAGCAACTGTGATGGCAAAGGGGCGGGAAACAAGGGTGGTGGTGGTCCGATTTCTGTTGAGACAAAAACGCTGACTTTAGTTTAACAAGCAGGAACAAATGGTTAGACTCCATCTCTAGTCGGGATGACCGCCCCACCACACTGACTGGCAATACTTAAGCTGGCCACAGTCAAATATGTAGTAGGCTCGTACAAAAACACTCCACCTGAGCACGGGGAGAAAAGGAGGCAGAAACAACCCACAGGCTTGTCTGACACAGGAGGCATGACTATGAAATGGGAATGAGTTCCCTCCTCGGTTGGGAGTTCACAGAATCACAGAAGCACGCCTGACCAGAAGACACCATTGTCACCACTGTCGTCACACTGTGCATGCTTCCTTATTTTCTTTATACTACCAGAGGTGATTTGAAAGCCTTAGTTGTTTAAACACTCGTCCCCAGTTGACTGAGAAGGTTAGGTGCACGAGGTGTGACCTTGGTGGGAAAGCAGGTCATTGGGAATGGGCTCTTGTCATTCCCAGGTGGATCTCTTGGCTTCCTGCCTACAGCTCAAAACTTGAGTTTTCATTTCCTGCTCCAGCTGCCAGGGCTGCTACTACGCTTGCTGTCACTTCCCTGTGATGTCAATGGACTCCAACCCCCCGAGACATTAAGCCCAAATAAACATTTTCTTCTATAAGTTGCCTTGGTTATGGTGTTACAGCAACAGAAAAGTAACTACTACACATTCAAAACTTGGTATATATTTTCCCTTCTCTTTCTGTTCCCTTCTTTCTTAAGACAATGTCTCCTATTGCCCAGGCTGACCCTGACCTTACTATGTAGTTGAGGATAACCTTGAACTTCTGATCTTCCTGCCACCATCTTTCAAGTGCTTAGGTGCAAGGATTGTAAGTGTATATTGCATACCCAGTTTTGTGTGTGTGTGTGTGTGTGTGTGTGTGTGTGTGTAGCCAGGGTGCAAGGATTGTAAGTGTATATTGCATACCCAGTTTTGTGTGTGTGTGTGTGTGTGTGTGTGTGTGTGTGTGTGTGTATGTGTGTGTGTGTGTGTAGCCAGGGTCTTCCTCAACCATTTTTCACCTTATTTTCATTTATAGTCACTGACCACAATGTCATCTTAGTTGGGAATGGCATGCAAATGGAGTCTGTAGATTTTCCTTTGTTCCTCTGGTAAAACTCAAAGCCTAAGAGTTATTTTTCTTAGTTGAAATGTTCACCTATCTCTCATGCACTGTTGTGTTTAAGTGATTTTTCTAAAGTAATTGTATGTTTCTACCTTATGACTATGTAGAATACAACTATAACCCCACCCTCACTGGTGGTCAATACTGGCAACTTAATAAAAATACAGGTAACCCAAGAGGTAAGTCACATCTGTGAGGGGTTATCTAAGATTAGACTGATATGGGAAGGATGCATCGTGAATGGCACCATCACCAAAAAAAAAAAAAAAAAAAGAGGAGGAAGTGGGTTGAGCGTGCACACATCAGGTGAGTTGTGACCAGGTGCCTCCTCGGTCTCCTGCTGCCCTGACTTCACCATGACGATACATCCCCCTCTGGTATTCTAACCACAGCAATAGGAAAGTAACTAATACAAACAGGGTTACTAACAAGCCAACAAGTCGATTTTAGCATGGAAAATACACTTGCCATCCAGCCTTAAAGGTCAGATGGCTATAAAGTGAGTTACCGACCTCATGAAGTCAGCATGGGCCAGGCTCTCCAATGAGAGAGCTACATTACCACTTCTAATATAACAAACTTTTCCCCAACACTGACATTTCCTAAAGAGAAACCAATCACAAGGAGAAACATTTAATTTCTCTCTGCAGCCTCCTCCTAGGATTCCTTAGGACATTTGTCTTCCGTTCTTTCTTTGAATATCTTCCAAGTACCAACATGGAGGCAAATAATTTACCAATACCTGTGTCGAGTGGGGAGGTAGGAACTGAAGGACGCGGATTTACTGTGCTCCCCGAAAAAGACCCCAGAGTTTTCCAATCTCTAAATGGAAAATTAGGAAAACTTGAGTCTGAAAGTTTGCTATCTATGTGGAGAGGAGGCAATTTGAGGGCTGTTCTATTAAAATTTCAATTTCACTCTGAGAGTGCTTCAGCAACTGTCATCCTTGTGTTTTTATATTCAACCCTGGGGTGGGGGGAGGATAACTAAACAAATGTCTGCAGAGAAAGCCAGCCTTTCACCCAGTCTTTCCTAGCTGCCTCTTCTCCCCCACTCTTTTCTTCCTCCTCTCCCTTCCTTTTCCAGCAATGAAGGAAATTAAACCCCATATCCCCCACCCCCGCAAGGAATCTTCCATGAAGCTCTACTGGAACCCTCCAGCTGCTGTCATCCAGCCATTACTGAGAAGATCAGACTTCTAGAGACCAGACAGCCTCACATAGTCTGCTGAATGGTAGAACACCTGAAATCATCTGCCAGTTCCAAGGTTCTTTACATTTTAGTCTTCATGCTATGAATTGCATCTCAGCTTCCCTAAGAAGGAGATCACTCACTCAATAATTTTAGCTCCAGAAAACATATTTCTGAATAGAGTGGAGAAGGTTCTACTTAACAAGAACTTTAAAAAAAAAAAAAAAAAGGATTACAGGCTGGAGAGATGGCTCAGAGGTTAAGAACAAGAACACTGTCTGTTCTTCCAGAGGTCCCGAGTTCAATTCCTAGCAACCACATGGTAGCTCACAACCATCTATAATGAGAACTGATGCCTTCTCTTGGTGTGCAAGCATGTATGCAGATAGAACACCGTATACATATTAAATAAAAAGGATTGTGTGTGTGTGTGTAGATGCGTGCACACCTGCAGAAAACAGAGATTCCCTGGAGTGGGAGTTTTCAGGTGGTTTCATGCTACTTGATCTGGGTGCTGGGAGCCAAACTTGGGGCCTCTGCAAGAGCAGAAAGCATGCTCAACCACTGAGACATCTCTCTAGCTGATAACAAGAACTTCTGACCAAGCAGAATCTGTATCCCCTAACTCCTAACCTAGCTTCTAAATGTGAAAAACAAAAACAAAACAAAAAAACCAACCAACTTATTAAGAAAACTGAGCCAGGAGGTGGTGGTGCACACCTTTAGTCCCTGCACTTGGAGACAGAGGCAGGCAGATCTCTGTGAGTTCGAGGCCATCCTGGCCTACAGAGCCAGTGCCAGGAGAGGCTCCAAAGCTACACAGAGAAACCCTGTCACAAAAAAACAGAATAAATAAAATAAATAAACAAACTGACAATGGACAGACAGACTTAAACACCAAGTATGTGCAACCCTTTGCAATTCAAAGGGTATCATGTCCCACCCCCATCCCCTCCAGGAGCAAGGGGTAGGCAAAAAGGCTTATTAGAAAATAAGACTCTCAGACTCCACCCCAGAAGTTCTAACAAGAAGCTGCTGCATTATAAGGTAAGCTCCCACGTGACTCAAAAGATCAGCTAGGTCTGTGGTGGGCTGTTTGGAGGTTCCTTCACCCATCAGATCTAGAATTAGTTTCAGGATGATTATTTTGTGAATAAAAATAACCAGAAAAGTTTCAGAGAAAAACCTTAATGAAATAAAAAAAAAATGGCATTTCAAATTAACATACCCCATACACTAAAGATCTACTCATTTGTATAAAATAAATTACATAAAAGGCACCATTTATAACAAGGAGATTGCTTAATAGATGCCTAAAGTCAGAACTGACATCGTAAATTAACACAAGGATGTATGTTGAAAACCTTGACACTTTGCTTTGGACCTGACGCACATTGAAGAACCTTTTCAATAGCTTCTTACTGCACTGCCAGACACTTAAGATAGAGACTTATCTCCACCAGCCTTTCCTCACAGAAGGGATGAATATGGGGTCCACAGTGAAAGGGGAGCTCTGAGAAGGACAGGAGCAACTGCCTGGGTGGGAGCACATACTGAAGAGAAGCCTCAAGAAAGGAACAGTGGCTACACCGTTTGAGTTCCTGTATTTGTATTCCAATTGTAGATGTCCCCTGTAGGTGAACCCAAATTAACACAAGTGCTTAAGAAGTTCATGTGGGGTTAAAGACACCCACTAACTACCAGACTTCTTATTGTGCTAAACCTCTGTCTAAATTCGAAACTCAATTCTCCAGACAAAAAGAGTTATAGAATCATAATTTGGGGATGAGTTAATCATTACTATGGAACGATATAATGATTTTAAGACATCATATGACAACTGTGTGCAGACTTATGACTGACATGTAACCATGGCCAACTCTGTTATCCGGGTCTTGACAACTGCTATTACTCTCTTGAGGGTGTCACAGCTGACTATCTATGGATAGAAGTTTTTCTAACATTGCTTTCTTATCTACCATGGTTCCTGGGGTTACGGTAGAAGACAGAGATAAAGGAATGGCTGAGCACTTCCCAGGGGAGCATCTCTAGATTTTAAATCATACAAGTGGTCACTGCGAATAGGTATGTGGCTAGAGAGAAAAGTATGCAGGAAAAAAATGTCCACAAGGGACCCATACATAATAAACAAGTGTGACCACAGTGACGGAAACCACTCACGCGAGGGGGATAGTGTTGGCTTTTGATTGTCTCCGACTTTTCAGGGTCCGAAGTCTGTCTCCTTGTGTCACTCCATTGATTTCATCATCATCACTATACTGTATGCATTAAAATAACAAAAACAAAACAAAACACCGAGCAATCATTAACTTAGGTTGTTATAGAAGCCAAGTGGCTACTTATTCAGGCATGCACACGCACACGCACGCACACACGCACACAAAGGCATACACACATCTATGCACACATACACAGAGAAACATGCATGCTCACGCACATAAACTCAGAGACATGGTTGAGCACTCAGAGAGGCGGTTATACTGTGCACACACGCATGTACGCACATAACACACACACACACACACACACACACACACACGTGCTTTAAGTTTCTTTTGAATGTTGCAATAGTTTTCAAAAAAACCAAACTACCAGCCATATTTTAAGACAATCAAAGTCACCCGAACCACCTCTCTTTGTAAGGGAGCAAAGATACATATCAGCTTTTGGCTTTAGAACTTGTTAAAATTTGATCATCCATTCACTAATCCTTAGCAGAGTACTGCTGTCTGCCACAACTGTGGTTCTTTGAGAGTTCTCCATTTGAGCTGCTAAAGCAGCTGAAATGAGAGGAAGGACGCTGGGGTAGGAGGAGCTTACTCCCTACTGCTAGTTCCCACCTGAGTTTAGGAAGTAAAATATTCTATGCGCACACGACTTCCTTTTCAGTCAAACATTTCTAGAGAGGGTTGTATCTAAACATGACTGTGTGGTGATAGCCCCTTTATTATCTTTACCTATAGTTTTCTCCATGCCCTACAAGGATCTCAACAGCATTTACAGCAATAACAACAGCGTGATCGGGATGGTTCCATTACCAGCTCAGACTCTTGCTTGTCTTGATTCTCAAGCCCACTTATCGAAATGTCATCAACATCCGAGAGGTGTTTGGAGAAGGCTGCTCTGAGAGGTCCGTTCTCCTGCCCTCTCAACTTCTGACGTAAATAGTCGCCTTCCAGCCAGAGGCTTGACTGTTTCCTAGAGTGTTTAAACAACATCAAAATACAGCTGTCCCTAAGGACACCCTCACCACCGTTCCTGCTGTCAACAGGAGACAAGCTCCCACCGTACTCACATGACCAGAAACTGCTGCTGGGGCCCAATCACTGAACCCGGTCTGCAGATCCTGAGCCAGGCAATGCTCTCAGCTGCCGTCATCCTATAATGCTTCATGAGGTAGCAGCCTATCAGAGTACCTGTTCGACCAAGGCCAGCTAGAAAAACAAACCAATCAATGAAACCTGGTTGCACACCCTCAGGAATTCCCTGAACAAGAGTAAGAAAAAAACAAACATCCAGAGACAGTAGAAATTTTTCTCAACAGAGCCTGGTATAAATGAAAGGGGTTCCCAGGGTCTTGCTTCCCTCTACAAAGTTTCTCTAAGTCAGTCTGAAAAGACGTATGAAGGCCAGCACTAGGTCTCATCCTTGAGACCTAAGTGGGATGCGGCCCAGGAGAAAAGACTGGATCCTTCTAAAATCCCCCTGAGGATTCGATGTGAAGTTAAAGACTGATTGAGAATCATTTTCTGGACAGGGACTCTGAAGAAATGTGGTATTTGGAGCTGGAGAGGGGACCTAATGTTTAAGAGCACTTACTGCTCTTACAAAGGACCCAGGCTCAGTTCCCATCAGGTGGCTCATAACTGCCTGAAACTCCATTTCCAAGAGATCAGTCATCCTCTGGCTCAAAGGCACTTGCACGTGTGTGGTACACATAATTCAACCAGGTGTGTACGCGTGTGCGCACGCACATACATACATACATACATACACACACACACACGTAATTTTTAATAGGGTTTTCTACCCAAGCCTTGTATTTGCTACCACATCCAACAGTGCTACCCACTCAACATCTGTACCTATGCACTCTCTGCTTGAGGGGAGGAATGCTGAGGATATGTTAAGACAAGCACTCTGCCCTAAGCTCTACCCTCAACCTCAGTTTTCCTTGTAACTCTTCCTTCCACTTTGTATGTCTCTACAGATGGTACACATGTTGAGTGTGTATGCAGGGTTTCATTTGAGGGGGCACATGCATGAGGAAGCCCTAAGCAGAAGTCTTCAGAGTCTTCCTTGATTGCTCTACATCTTATTCACAAGGCAGGGTTTCTGAACTGAACCTGACAGGTTTCACCCATATGGCTGGTTTGGGTAGCTAGTCTGGAAATCCCATCTCTTCCTTCCCTGTAACTATTGGTGGGCTACATGATCACCTAGCATTTGTGTATATTCAGGAGATCTGAACTCCAGTCTCACAATTGGCATGGGTAAGAACTCTGGACCCTGAGTCATCTCCTAAGTCCTCTTCTCTCCTCTTACAGAGGCCATGATAGCTAACTCCTATGATGGTTGATGTGTTGTGTCAACTTGGAAGGAATTTTTGGTTAAGTTCAGCATTTCAACTGGTGCCGTTTTTAGTAAGCACACTGCTTTTCATAATGTGGGCCATTCTCTTCCAGGCCATCAAAGTCTGAGCAAAAAAAAAAAAATAAAAGACTAGTTTTTCCATCCAACAGCAGGTCTGCCTTCGCAGACAGACAGCTCATAGTAGAGATGATGGACTCACCGACTCCATGACTCCTTTTAATAAACTGGAACTGTATGGGAGAGAACCAAGGCGGCTGCTAGGAAAAACCACCCCAGATGAGAGTAAGCAATGAACAGTTTCAGCCTCCAGCCACCCACAGTGTCACAGTGGCTGTGGGCTTTTTATACATGGTTTTGTTCTCAGTGCTTTTATCATAAAAGGGAGGTGCCGAAATCTGCCAAATGTCATTCCTACATTAGCAGAGATGATGATGTCGTTTTTTTTTTTTTTTTTTACCTCACTGTTACCGTAGAGATTCATACTGACTTTTCTATATTGCACCACTTATGTAATTCCAGGACAATCATTTTATTAGAGTGAATGATACTTCACCTTCACTGTATTATATTATCTTAGGGTCTCCTGTACCCCATGCTGGCCTCAAACTCACTATGTGGTTGAGGACAATCTTGAATTCTGATCCTCCTGTGTTCGTGTCCCCAATGCTAGGATTGCAGGTGTATACCATGACACTTGGGTTATGGAGCGCTGCAAATCAAATCCATGTCATCATGTTTGCAAAGCAAACCCTCTACCAGTGGATACCCAGGTCCCTATAATCCATCTACTATGTTACTGAATTCAGCTGATAAACACTTTGTTCAGGATGTTCACAATGTTGACAGTACTGTATGGCTTCTAAGCTTGTGTTAGGTAGCAAGGCAATCCTGGCTTCATACAACTTATGAGATCTTCATTTTCCTAAATTTTGAGTAAGTCTCTGAGAACCAGTATCAGTCACAGGTGATGAATTGGGTCCAGAGTTGTCCTTCATCAAGGAAGAGCTTCAATTCAGCCTCCTTGGTGTTTAACTTTGAACCCACCTTCTGCATCTCATGGTAACCCTGCACTGGTGGGTTTTGTGTTTCCAGGAATTTTCCACTTCATTTCCACTATCCAACTTTTTGTTCTGCAATTGTTCACAGTAATCTCTTATTGGATGTTCACATGTGTTCATACACATATGTCCAGCTTCATTGCTCTCCACCTAATCCCCTTGCAACAGGGTCTCTCAATGAACCTAGAGTTTGCTGTTTTCATCTAGGCTGTCAGGCCACTAAGTCCAGCAATCTTCCTGTCGGCTCCAACCCTACTTAGAAGTTACAGGTGTCTACAGCCATACTTAACTTCTTATATATGAATCCAAGTTCAGGTCCTCTTAGCATTTCTATAGAATCTCCATTATTGTCCCCACCGTCACTTCTCATCGTAATAATTGAGCCTTTTCTCTTTCATCTTCATCAATGTAAGTAATTCATCAATGTAAGGTTTGTGATTTTTTTTAAAACTTTTTGAAGAACCATCCCTGGATTTTGTTGATTTTTCTATTGGTTTTCTATTATTTTATATGTTGCAGTAGTTATATTACAATAGCAACAATACTTAAAAAGCTATTACTAGTCTTTAACCTTTCTATGTGCATATTTACCTCTTGCTTCTTCATATGACTTTGAGTCATTCTCTGGGATCCTTCCAATTCATCTAACAGGGTACTGGTCAAGTTGTAACAAGGGTGGCTTACTGCTTCCTTATTTTTGAGGGAGTTTTGAAGACTTATGGGACTCTTGGCTGTAGTGTTTTTCCTTCAGTAATTGCATTATTGTCAATTCACTGTCTCAGGCTTCCACAGCTTCCGATGGAAGATCTGGTAATAAAGGTGTTCCCTCTCTTACTTCTTTCAGTGTCTCTGTCTTTAGACAGTCATGTGAGTTTCTGAGTTTGTTTTGTTGGGAGTTTGGAGAATGTCTACAATCATGTCTTTTATCAAATTGGGAAATTTTTCCAGGCAAACAGCTTGCCTCCTTTTTTTTCTCCCCCTCCTCTGCTGTAGCATCCACCACATATATCTGGTCTCCGGGACTTTGTTCCTCAACTCTGCTAGATTTTTGCTCCGTTCTCTTCTTGACCCCTTTTTCCCTATTCTCAGACCTGGTGACTTTTTTCTTTTCTTTTTTTCTTTTGGTATACACTGGAACTTTTTCCTGTGTGTATGTATGTGGGAGGCTGCCACGTCCCCTGGAACCGCAGTTTCAGACAAGTTGTGAACTGCCGCGTGGGTGCTGGGAACTGAACCCAGATCCTTTGGAAGAACAGCCAGAGTGGCCAGTGCTCTTAATTGTTGAGCTATCTCTCTAGCCCTGACCTGTGTCTGTTTACTGGCTCTGTTCTTTATAGTCCCGGCTTCTTCCTTCTGCCTGAGACAGTATGCTTTGGAACCCTGCCAATAAGCTTTTAAAGTTATTTCCAGAAATATTTTTTTGGGTTTACTTTTATGGTTTTTGTCTTCTACTCACACTTGAATTTTGCTCACACAGTTTTTTTTCCCCTTCTTTTCCCTTACTTTCTTTTCACCATAAGCACTGTTGAGGTAGCTGTTTTAAATCATCTGTCTAGAGAATCCACTAGTTGATCCTTGTCAAGAATAGTTTTGGGAATTTTGTATACTTTACTGGCTCCTCTTCCATTTTATCTATCTATCTTCTGTCTGTTTATTTATCTATCTATTCATTTATTATTTATCTATCATCTTCCACTACAAAATCAACATTTGAATGTTGTGATCATAGCTACATTCCTACCTACAAACACAATTTCAACTCCAGAAATTAATTTGGTGATTGTTTTAATTTTTTTGTTTCCTTGCTATTGAATTTTTCTTAGTGATTATATTCCTTGTCTCCTTAATTAACTAGCTCACATTAAAGTTAAATGAACTCTACTACAGTCACACAGTACATCATTTACAGTCGTTTAAGGAACGTTTAGTATCAGAAACTGTTACAGCTGCTGAAATATATCTTGCCAGATCTTATTCTCTACACAGAAAGCAGCAGTTGGGCCTTGGCTCTATCACTGACAACCTAAGGAGTTACCACACAGGCACAGGACAGACTCTTGAATAAATATGCATACTTTAATATGCTAAGCCTTTGTAGGCTGACTCTTGAAAGTTAAGTTCATACAATTACAGGGTTTTAAAATCGTTCTTTCTGGGCCAGGCGTTGGTGGTGCACGCCTTTAATCCCAGCACTCGGGAGGCAGAGGCAGGCGGATCTCTGTGAGTTCGAGGCCAGCCTGGTCTACAAGAGCTAGTTCCAGGACAGCCTCCAAAGCAATACAGAGAAACCCTGTCTCGAAAAACAAACAAACAAACAAACAAAAAATCGTTCTTTCTGGCCAGTGAGATGGATCAACTGATAAAAGCACTTGCTGCCAAGTCTGATGATGTGGGTTCTATTCCAGGAAACTACATGGTGAAAGAATTGACTCCCACAAGTTTCCTCTCTCTTTCTCAATGTCATAAAAAAAAGCTTTAAGTCATTCTTTCAATGGTGTAGTGTGATGTGTATTGCAATGTAACATAAAGGGACACAACACATTTCTACACACATACTCATATATGAACACTGCCCTTTAACCCAACCTAGCTGCTTACCTTTGCAATGCACAGCAATGGCACCCTCAACACTTTCACAAATATCCAGAAATTCTTGGACAATTGACTCAGCAGGAGTGCTGCCATCCGGAAAGAAAAGATCATGGTGATCGAAACCAGCTTCCGTAAAGCGCTTAGCATCATACATCCTTTTATTCAGACGGATAATGGTAGTTACATTGTGATTCTTAAAATACGGAATATAAGTCTCAGGAGAATGTTGGTGGTAACCTACATAAAAAAAAAATGCACCACATCTTGTAAAATGCAGGAAGGAAACAATGGAAAATAGTTTCACCTGGAAAGTGGGTGGAAACTGTCTGGATTGGGGACTGAGTACCCGTTTGATTATAACTGTAAAAAACAGAAGCTTAAAAAGTTAACACCCAGGCAAAACAATGTGCTCAAATAACCAAGAGCAGTTAAATCATAAAGACTGAGTCAAGCTTAGCTTAATTCTTTGGTTTCTTCCTAACCCCTTTGATAGGCAACTCAGGAGCTCCACTGCCAGGAGGTGAGCATGGAATGCTGAGCCTATCCCAGACACCCAACCATTCAGCACACCAGAATTCAGGACTGGAACTATCCTTCTGCCTCACTCAGACTCACAAACAGCTGGGACAACAGGCACAGCTACTGTGCCCAGCTTGCTGTCCTACTTCCAAAGGAAAAAGACAAGGCCATCCTGGTTCCACAGTTTTGCATACCACTCTCAAGTCTGGATTTTGAATGGGGTCCACAGAAGGCAAGAAACCGATCCGGTATTATCCAGTTGAAATCTCCATTTTCTGCTTTCTACAAGGGAAAGATTAGCACAATTAGCTTTGGGACCGCATCTCCTTCCAGCTCCCTTTTCAACACTCTCAGAGTTCAAAGCCAGTGGCTTTAGCGTGTCAGCTGTTCACCCAGCACAAGATAGAAATCTATTCTGCCCCACTTTGAGTATTTCCAAGGGATGGCTAACTTTCCTAGTGTCATCACTTTGTTTTGAAAGTATTTCTCTGCGTAAGTCTTCAGCCTAGAAAACATACCCTGCACTCAATTATATTTCGACAGCCTGGCTATTTCATCTGAATAAATTCTTATTATACGAAATTAACTCCTATTAAGAAAACAGACTTTTCTAGTGTATGAGAGGACTCTAGAAAGCCCCCCCACACTCCATTATCCTAAACAGACAAAGTATTTTCCAATATAAATAATTTTGACTCCCTGAGTAACAATAGGAAGAGTGTCAGAAGTAATGTCTCCATTGTCTCTATATAGTAAGAGGGAGACAATATTATGTTTGTTGTGTATGTGTGTGCTGAGAACAGAGAACAGCCTTGGGTGTCATTCTTCAGGTGTTATCCACCTTGCTTTTATGTTTCTTTTTTGGGGGGGGGGCAGGGTCTCACATTATGTAACCTTGGCTGATCTGAACTTGCTATGTAGACTAGGATGCCCTTGAACTCAACAGAGCTCTGTCTGCCACTGCCTTCCAAGTGCTGGGATTACTAAGCATGCACCACCCCCCCCCCCAGCATAACAAGACTTAAGAAATAAAAGGCAATTGACTGTGACGCAAAGAATCAGTGGCAAAAGGAAAAAAAAAATCACTTAACAACTGTGGTAATAGAAACACGGTGCTTCATGTGCCAACTGCTATTTTTAGTATTTCATATACCCAGAAAAAGTATTTTAAGTGTGTATAGTGTGTCTGTGTGTGTCTGTGTGTGTCTGTCTATGTTCACATGTGTGGAGGCCCAAAGCTGATACCTGGTGTTCAACCACTTTCCACTTCATTTATTGGAACGTGGTCTCTTGCTAAAGGCAGAGCTTTCGGACTCTGGACTCTAAATAGACTGGTCTGGCTCACCCCCAGGATCATCTGTCTCTTTCTTTTTAAGTGCTGGGATTACAGGTCTCAGCCATGTATGCCCACCTGCCTGGCTTTCATATGGCTTCTAGGGATCCAAACCCAAGTTTGTACAGCAAGTACTTTATATCCCCTGAGCCCTCTCTCCCCAGCCCCAAGAAAGTATATTTAATTTTACGTGTTTAATTTTATGGTGACGAGGAGGACGAGGAGGAGGAGTAATGATGGTAGTGGTAGTTATACAGTCACTGAAGGACATAGTCAAATATTGCACTTTAGAAACAGATTGGCATTACAAGGAAGATACAGCTGTCACAAATGAATCCCGGGATATGTTTTACCTTTGCCACAAAAAGAGCCTAGACCATCAACAAAACACATTATACTTCAGTTTTCTAAATAAAAGTTCTTCAGAAATTGACTGCAAAAGCTAATTATCTGTGGACTTGGGATATGAGTGCATGGCTGTCTGCAGAGCCTCCTCTCCTTCTGAGGAAGTTCATTCAAAGTGACTATTACCAGACCTAAAGAGTCCAGTTTCCCTGTCTCCAGGGGGCCTTTAATACAGTATCTTACACATCTGTTTTGAAGAGGGAACCCAAGAATCAAGGATTCTCTACTTCCTCAATCTTTAAGTTAAAAGAAATAGAAGGTATCTGTGAGTTTGCCTGCCTGTACACTTTCTCCTGTCCCATCTTCTTTATCTGATATGGTAGGCCAGGACCAGAGTCATCTGGCAATAATAACTGACATTCCCACATGAGAGACTGTAGTGAGATATACACCCCACCCATACCCGTAGCACTGATGGGCATGGTCACAGGTGAGGACCCATTTCCAGCACCGTTGTGTGTGCTACAGGTATGGGCAGGGTATGTATCTCACTATGGGGGAGGCAGGGAGGGATGGAAGGGGTAGGGAGGAGGGATGGAGGGGGAGAGACAGAGACAGAGGTCAGCTCCTCTTCTTATTTTTTGAGACAAATTTCCTCATTGAATCTGTAGCTTACTGATTTAGCTAAAATAGTTGGCCAGTGAACCTCAGAAATTCTGCTTTCTACACCTCCCTAGTGCTGGCATTATAGGTGTTAACTGCTACACTGGGTTATTTTCATGGGTGCTGGTATTTAAAACCAGATTCTCATTCTTGTTTTATTTACTGAGCCATCTCCTCAGCTCTGCTCCTGGATTTTCAATTTGCAGATTCCAATAAAATGTTTGCTCTTTTATTTAAAACATTTCAGGCTTTTTGTTTTTAAATAGAGTGTCACTATGTAGCCGTGGATGGCTTAAAACTCACTATGCAGACCAGGCTGTCGCCAAACCTGCTGTTGCCTCCTGAGTGCTGGAGTTAAAGGTGTTTGCCACCAGGCCTGGCTATTTGTGTTTAGTTTTCAAAACTTGAAACAGAGTGTCCAGTCAATACAAATAGGCTATAACAACAGCCAAGTACACAGCAACTAATCGCCTTTCTGTGTCCACACTGAGAACTTCATTCAAACCTGTATCCCCATCATTACAGGAAGGTCACCAAGACTAACTTAAACTAAGCACTGTAAAGACTATGTATCAATGAATACCTGTTTCCCCTGGAACCATCTATTAAACAAACTCAGAAGCCACCATTAAGAATCACGTATGGACCTGGTGGTGGTGGCACATGCCTTTAACCCCAGCACTCGGTAGGCATAGGCAGCAGGATCTCTGAGTTCTGGGCCAGTCTGATCTACAGAGCAAGTTCCAGGACAAGTTCCAAAAGCTACACAGAGAAACCCTGTCTCAAAGAAACAAAAAGGTATCATGAATGGAGAGCCAAGGTAAAAGATGTGAGGTTTCTTACCCTTCGATTTCATTTTATTTTTCCCCCTCATGTGTATATGTGCCTGTGCATGTTTGTGTGTTGGGTTCATACGTGTGTATGTGTGTGTTGATGTGTGGTATGAGCATGTGGAAGCCCAAGACTTCCACATCAGCAGTCTTCCTTGATTGCCTTCTACCTCACATATGAAAGGTCTCTCAGCTGAACCCAGAGCTGGATGATATAGAGTCACTATGGCCACCTAGTATTTTCGTAGGTTCTGGACATTCAAACTCCAGTCTTCAATGAAGCATCTCCCCAGCCATATTGTTTAATATTTTTTTTTAATTCTCTTTATTCCTTTACGTAGGATAAAAGAGTAAATATATGTGGTCACATGGTGGAATTCTGGTCACAGCACAAATTTCCAATAATAAGTTCTGGATCTCATGTGCAGACTATTTCTGCATCTTTTATTTTGTTTTTCTGAGATAGCTTTGGCTGTCCTGGAACTCACTCTGTACACCAGGCTGGCCTCGAAATCACAGAGATCCACCTGCCTCTGCCTCTCAAGTATTGGGATTAAAGGTGTGCACTACCACTGGCCACCACCACCCACCCAGCTGTTCCTGCACCTTAAATGTCCGCAGCACAAACACTGCAGAGATAGCACACATGTGTGAATGAGGTTGACTCTGGGAACCATTTCACAAGCACACAGCCATCAAAACATTATCTGGGCCAGGAGGGTGACTCAACAGACCAAGCACTTGCCACACAAGTGTGATGACCAGAGTGTGAGCCCCAGAACCTATGTAGACAGAAAGGAGAAAACTGACTCTACCAAGGTGTCCTCTGACCTCACGAGTTCACCAATACACATCATACACACACGTAATAAATAATAATAACAGTAGCGACAATATCAGATAAATTAAAAGCATTACTTAGTATGCTAAGAGAGTTAGCGCCCAATATAGATGGCACCTCAGTAAAGTATGGAGTAAGGAGGAACTTAACTGAGAAGAGGAACCTAGGACTTACTTCATAGTGTTCATATTCATCAAGGTTAAATGTGTTGAAATTAAAGAAGCCGTACTGCATTGCCTGAAATATGAAAGGAAACTTTTAAGAACAAAGGATAAACAAAAGGCCAATTTCCTACCCAATTTCCTACTGAGCACCAGGAAATGTCTTAGAAAATAGTGCTGTATTCATGCTGAGCATCTAAGGGTGTGGGAGATTCTTGTTCAACTATTTGGGGCCCCTATGCCACATCCCCAAGCCCTGAAACTTTCTGACAAAGCAGTTATGACTCATTTACTTTTATATAAAGCTTTGTGGCAAATTAATGGTTGTCCAAATTACCTTGTTGAACTCAAAGACCACTGCCTGGAAAGAAAATTGAGTCTCAAGCAACTTTGTTGTTGGTACAGGGGATAGGGCCTAGGACCTTGGACATGCTAGACTGACACTGAGTAATTAATATTCCCCTCTCCTCAGTTACTGTGTTACAAATACAGAATATATATGAATAGACCTTGGAGGAAAAAAAGTATTCAACATTTTTTTTTCTTTTAAATCAGACACACTGAAAACTAATACTGTATCTAGAACCAAATTACTTATCTCTCTATCCTCTCTGGTTTTTGGAGACATGGTTTTTCTGTGTAACAACCCTAACTGTAATTAACTCTCTTACTTATGCCTTGTTTTTGTGATGCTGAGGTTGAACCCATGGCCTCTCACATGCCAAACAAGTGCTCAACCAACGATTGACAGCCCCAGTCTGTCTCCTGTCTGTGCCCTTTCCATCCCATTCATGCACAGAAGCAATGAGAAATTCATAATGAGCTGTTTATTGGTCTGAGGTCACTTTAACGCTAAAGGGGAAGGGAATACTCCCAACCTGACACACCTCTTCAAGAAATTCTAACAGAGCTGTGTAGAACAACGCCTTGTCTTCTCCAAGACACTCACCTTCCTTACTGCGTGAAAACAGTCGAGAAGTGTGATATAGAAACTGCAGCTTCCATAGGCAGCGTCTCTGAAATTCCCAAAGTGTTACTCTGTTAATGTTCCACAGCATACTCAGCCCAAGACAAACCTGACTAGAATCCAATGCTTCAATGATCTCTACAGCACGGTCACAAGCATTTTGTTTTTACAGTTATACTAGAACTGGATAATTTTTTCTAATTCTTTTTTTTTAATTTATTTTATTTTATGGAACTGGAGTTACAGGATGTTGTGAGCTGACATGTGGATACTGGGAATTAAACCTGGGTCCTCTGGAAGAGCAGCCAGTGCCTTTAACCCCTGAGCTATCTCTCCAACCACCTTTCTAATTCTTTTGTTGTTGTTTTTCAAGTCAGGGTTTCTCTGTATAACAGTCCAGTTCTGGTTGTCCTAGAACTCACTTTGTAGACCACCTGTCTCTGCCTCCCAAGTGCTGTGATTAAAGAAAGGCAAGCACCACCACCAACCGGCTCCTTTCTAATTCTTAAGGGTCAAAATTCCAATACAATCACAAGAGCAAAAGCATCCAAACCTTTGGTAAAATCACTCCACATCTAAGCAAGTGCATAATCCATCAGCAGACATTGCCACTGAAATACTACATCAGTGTTAGTATTCAGGCATCTGTAGTGGCCTGTCCTTGGGGTTCTGACAGGGTACACCCTCAGTTGCAGCTCCTAAGAACAGCACCTGTACACACTACGTTCTCTTTTAAAAGGGCCCTGCCCACCTCCTATCCTCTCATTCATTCTCTCCCTCTCTCTCTGCTCTCCCTTCCTTCCTTCGTCTCCCTCTCCCCTCTCTCCTGCTGCTCCTGCCCCCAGAGGCCTGTCCCCTTTTTATGATCACTTTCCCTTATTAAGAAACCCCTCCACTTGAGCTCTGTCACATGGTATCTTTCTCAAGCCGCTATTTTAAAATGACAACAACCAGCCCTATCAATCAATGGGAAGAGAGAGAACTTTCAAAGCGCAGTGACGCAATGACTTTGACAGTAACTGTTAACTACTACCATTACATTATCTTTTTTCTTTTTTGGTTTTTCATTACACGGTTTCTTTGTGTACCCTGGCTGTCCTGGAAAACTCGCTCTGTAGACCAAGCTTATCTCAAACTCAAAAAGGTCTGCCTGCCTATGCCTCCTGAGTACTGGGATTAAAGGTGTGCACCACCACCACCTGGCCTTAATGTGATCGACAATTCTCCAACCCAGTTAAAGGCATACTGATTCAGCCTTACAAAGAACTTGATGCATGCTTTGAGAACTACAATGGCTCAAGCCCTTCTCTACTCAAGACCTACCTCACACTATCTGAACACACAAGCTTGCTTCATGAATAGCCTGACCTGAGCCACCAGGAATCATCCTCCATTGCTCTTCCACTATATTCACTGGGGTAAGCAAGATCTTTCAGCAAAGCCAGAGTCCGCCTATATGACTGGCCTTGCTAGCCTAGCTTGCTCTAGGCACGCACTGTCTTGAAGGCAGGAACTACAGGCAGGCTGTCTCCCCACCCAGCATTTATGTGGGTTGTGGAGAATCTAAATTCTGGTCCCCAGGACTGTGTAGCAAGTGCTTTAACTACTGAGCCATCCCCTCAAGATGCACACTGGATAAAGTTCAAAAGCAAACAGGCCTAAGACACAGCAGTAAATCTTTGGGGGTAAGAGCCATGTTCTACATCCCAGAGTGTGGCAGTCACACATACATGTGTAAGACTTAGCTGCACAATTCATTTTAGTGTTGTGCGCTGGGGTGCAGGCTCAGTGGTGTGTGCTTGCACAATGCCTGAGTCCAATTCCTAAGTTCTGCACATATACATGTGCACATGCACACATATATATGCAATATTTGATTTTTTCAATGTTTGTTTTTTTTGTTTTGTTTTTTGTTTTGTTTTGTTTTTTGTTTTGTTTTTCGAGACAGGGTTTCTCTGTGGCTTTGGAGGCTGTCCTGGAACTAGCTCTTGTAGACCAGGCTGGCCTCGAACTCACAGAGATCCGCCTGCCTCTGCCTCCCAAGTGCTGGGATTAAAGGCGTGCGCCACCAACGCCCGGCTCAATGTTTGTTTTTTTTTTAATATCAGTGTTTTCTTTACAAATTGTATGTATCAACTTTAAAAAAGGAGAAAGGGCTGTAAATACTGAGCAGGCACTATGGTTTATTTGTTGTTGGGTTTTTTTTTTTTTAAGCATAACCTCTTCGAGCAGGTACTACTATAGTTCCTATCTTCAGAATACAAGCTGAGGTTTAAGTTTGTAAAGGAGACAGAAACAGCAAAGCTAAGAGTCAGTTCTCTATCTGATAACCAAAGCAAGCTATGAACAACCACAAAATGGGCTTGGTAGTGCATGCCTGTAACCCTAGCATTTGGGAGGTACTCACAAGAGGATAGGGGACAATGCAAACTCTTATCTCAAAAAAAGAGAAAAGAGAGACACCCACTTACACAAACTACAACAAAACCAAGAAGCAGAGTATTACTACAGGTAACAGTATTACAGGCATACTCCTTTAGATTACTTTTCTCACTAAGAGAAGAAATGATATAATTTAATAAGAAATTATACACTACTAGGTCCACATCTTTAAACACAGCACTCAGGAGACAGAGGCTGGAAGAATTTTGTTGATTTTGAGGCAGTCTGGTTGGTAGTACACACCTCACCTCTCTTTAGTTCCAGCATTCAGAAGGCATCTGCATTTGAGGCCAGCCTAGACTACATAGAAAATTCTAGGCCAGCAAGGTTTACATAGTAATAGCCTCTCTCAAAACATAAATAAATAAAAGACAAAATGGGAGAAAAGCAAATTAGAACTATCTAGGGAGGTTGTAGTGGGAACTGGGGTTGACACTGTTTGTGCTACTTTCTAGCAAGGAAGTAAGCCTATTTGCATTTCATGTCCTGTGTGTGAGATGTGAGAATGCCTATATGGGATTAATACTTTGGAGAATTCTCGAGAACAAGGTCATCACTGCAACAGCAGCCGATCTACATGCCTGCCTCTCACTCTGCAATTGCTGATACAAGATTTGCTTCTAACAGACACAGACAGTTGCTGTTACAAGTTAAAACGATGAGTGGCTTACTTCAGTTCATGTCTTTCTCTCTTCCTACCCACCTCAAATCACAGAACATTTGGGACAGTCTATGAGTTAACAGGAATGGGGCATTCTGTCTCAGCCACGGCCTTCAACCGCTACATCACTGAATTCTGAACATTGCCAAAACAATGGAAGCCCTGTTTCAAGGGGGAGAGGGGGTTCCAGAGAGCAACCTGAGGAGGAAACTGTCTTCAGTGAGGGAGACACTCTAGAGTTCATCTACAAGATGCTAGATTCATCAGCTTAGAGCTTTATAAACTTTTTTTCTCTTTAAAATTCTTTGAAGACAATTGCACTGTGGGTGAGAGGTGAGGCTGCTAACTGCCCACAGAGCAGGAGCACTGCCGCCTCCACCTTCTCCTCCACACACAGCTGCCTGACAGGTTTTGTTGCAGGTGTGGCAACATCTGTAGCCACACCTGCTACCTCTGCTGGCTGTGCTCCTAAGGAAAGGGGTCAAGCGTAGCTGAGAACGTTCCCCCTGTGAAATAGGGGAACTCCTGGGTGGGTTGCCTGGGAGCCTGGGGTAGCACTGGGCACAGTATCACCAGGATTCTCCCCTGGCTTCATCACAGCTTGGTTCTCAGCCAAGTAAGTCCTACTCCACCCATATCATTTCTAGAGACAGAAGGTGAAGTCAGGAGACATTTGAGGTTCTGGTAACAGGAGTGGGGGTGGGGGAGTCACTAGTGTCCAGCAAAGAGGCTGAAGTGACAACATTCTAATGGTGTTACTGTCAACTCCTGCATCTATAGTGTCACACCACTAAACATACCTTCCTGCCAGGGCTCCCCCAAAAGTTTCTGGTAGGGTATGATCAAATAGATCTACCACATTACCTGTATATTTATACTAACAGTAATAAAAACTGCATATACTGGTTGGTCAATGGAATCAAATTGAAGACCCAGATGTAAATCCAATACTTGATGTAAATGAATACTTGATTTTGACAAAGAAACCAAAATTATTCAATGGAAAAGAGGAAGCATTTTCAACAACTTGTACTAGTCTGTACACGAATGCAAACTGATCCATATCTATCACACTGCACAAAACTCAAGTCCAAGTGAATCCAAATACCTCAACATAAATCCAGATACAATGAACCTGATAGAAGAGAAACTGGGAAATAGCCTTGAATGCATTGTCACAGGAGACAACTTCCTGAACAGAATACCAAAAGTGCAGGCACTGAGATCGACAATAAATGGGACCCCGTGAAACTGAAAAGCTTCTCAAAAGCAAAGGACACCATCAATATGACAAAACAGCAGCCTATAGAACTGGAAAAGATCTTCACCAATCCCACATTTGACAGAGGGCTGATCTCCAAATATATATATATATATAACTAATGAAACGGGACCTCAGAAAAATAAATAACCCAATTAAAAAATAGGGTACAGATTTAAATAGAGAACTCTCAACAAATGGCTGACAAACATTTAAAGAAATCTCCAATATAGTCACCAGGGAAATGCAAACGAAACAACTCTGATATTCCATCCTATACCTGTCAAAATGTCTAGTATCAAAAACACAAGTGGCAGCTCATGCTGGTGAGGATGTGGAGCAAGGGGAAGAATCCTTCATTTGCTGGTGGAGTTCAAATTTGTGCAGCCACTTTGGAAATCAATACGGCGGTTTCTCAGAAAACTGGGAATCGATCTACCTCAAGACCCAGCTATACCACTCTTGGGCATATACCCAAAGAATGCTCCATCTTACCACAAGAACACTTACTCAACTACATTCATACCAGTTTTATTGGTAAGAGCCAGAAATTGGAAAGAACCTAGATGCCTCTCAACCACGAGGGAGTATTGCTCAAGTTGTTAAAAACAATGGCATCAAGAAACTTGCAGGCAAATGGATGGACCTAGAAAAATCATCCTGAGTGAATTACCTTGAACCCAGAAAGACAAACATGGTATGTACTCACTTCATAAGCAGGCATCAGATGTATAGGATAATCATGCTACGATTCACAGACCCAACCCAGAGAAACTAAGTCACAAGAAGGGCTCAAGGAGAGACACTTGGATCTTCCTGGGAAGGGGAATAGAAGAGATTTTGCAGATGAACTAGGGGTGGGTGGGGATGGTAATAGGAGGGGTCAGGTTTGGGGTTGGAAGAAGAGAGTACCGAAAGAAATGAATGGAAAAGAGGGGAGGGCATTTGAGGCTGAGGTAGAAACATAGAGCAATGGAAACTCCCAAGAATCTACAAGCAGTGACCCTAAGACTCCTAGTACTAGTGGATACGTAGCATGAACTTGCCTGTAACCAGGCAAGACTTCCAGTGGAGGGATCAGGATACCAACCCAGCCACATAACCTTTGACCTACAATTTGTGCTGCCTACAAAATGTGTTGGGGTAAAGAAGGAGCAGAAATTGTGGGAATGGCCAACCAATGACTGCCCCACCAATGACTGGCCCAGCCTGAGATTCACGCCAGGAGAAGCCCACAGGTGATGCTGCCTGAAGTCCCAGGATTCAGAGGCCAGATAGCCCAGAGACCTACGACAGAACCAAACACACACAACTGGCCAAAAAAAAAAAAAAAAAAAAAAAAGTCAATGTAATGATGCCTGATGATACTCTGCCCAATTAACATCAGAGAGGCTTTATCTAGCAACTGATAGAAACAGATACAGAGAGCCACAGCTGAACATTAGGTGGAGCTCGGGGAATTCTGCAGAAGAGAAGGGGGGAAGGATTATAGGAACCAGACGGGAAAGCCACAGAATCAACTAACCAGGGCTCGTAGGGTCTTACAGAGACTGAACAACAACCAGGGAGCCTGCATGGGGCCCTCTGCATATGTTATGGTTGTATAGCTTGGGCTTCCTGTGGGACTCCTAACAGTGGGAGCAGGAGCTGTCTCTAATTCTCTTGACAGCCTTTGGGAACCTTTGCTCCTACTGGGTTGCCTCATCTGGGGAAGTGCCTAGTTTTACTGCAACTTGATATGCATGGGAGGCCTGCCATTTTCTGAATAAAAATGGAGGAGTGGATAGGGGGATGAGAGGTGGTGGTGGTGGTGGGGACTGGGAGAAGAGGAGGGAGGGGACACTGTAGTCAGAATATGACATAAACAAACAAACAAATAACCATTTAAAACAAAGAAAAAGAATTACCACCAAAAACTTCCTGGTAAGGGTCTGATCTAAACAGATCTACCACATTACTTATACATTTTACCTGAAAGGGATATAGGCTGTATCTCCAAAGATTAATGTTCTATATGCGTCTTCTGGAGTCCTTCCTAAATATATAACCTATATTTGGAAAGAAAAGAAAAGGGCAATTTACTTAATGCCACAATTCTGTCACCAAGAAGCTTTTTAACATGAGCCCCAGCCAATGAGCAGAGCCAAGTTCTCAGGCTCCCAGGATCCTATCAGTGAGTTAATTGCTTGTTTCGACCTGCCAGAGAGAGCCCTCCTTGCCACATGAACCCTGAGAGTACACTTCAAACAGCCTGTGCTAAGAAGGGTAGCGCTTTAAAAACACATTTTCCAGATCCAGATGTTTGCGTAACAGGCTTTAATTCCTCCCTGAACATCCTCAGAAATGACAGGTGAAAAGGGAGCTGGGGACTGGAGTGTGGTGAAGTGATAACCCAAAAGCAGAGCTGATGAATTTTATTTATTATTGTTGTTATTATTTATTATGTTTGTGAATGTGCCCAACCGTACTAATGTGTAAGCCACCGGGCAACTTTGTGAAGTTGGTTCTCTCCTTTAGACCATGTCAGCTCCAAGGATCAAATCAGGTCCACAGACTTACACAGCAAGTGGCTTTACCTGCTGAGCCATCTTGCTGGTCCCAAACTACTTTTTTTTTTTAAGATTTATTTATTTATTACATATACACCAGATTGAATTGTAGATGGTTGTGAGCCACCATGTGGTTGCTGAGAATTGAACTCAAGACCTCTGGAAGAGCAGTCAGTGCTCTTAACCTCTGAGCCATCTCTCCAGCCTCCCAAACTACCTTTTTTAAAAAGTTTATTTTTTTTAATGCTCTGCGTGTTTTGCCTTTGCATATTACTGTGCACCGTGTACATGCAGTGCTGAGGAAGCCAGAAAGAGTTACAGAAAACTGAGCTGCCACATAGGTGCTGGGAACTGAACCCAGGTCTTGTGCTAATTTCTGAGTCATCTCATTATATATATATACACAGTGCTGTGGATTGAATCCAGTGCCTCACTCATGTTAGAAAGGAGCCACCACTGAGACACACTCTTGTCCAAAACAAAGACCTTGATTCGCTCTCTCCGTTTTCATTTAGGGTTCTGTCCCACTGTGAAAGTTTCCTACTGGACTAAGTACATCTGCTGCTTCTGTCTTCAGAACTATGGTATGTTTTTGGTTTCCTCTGGTAAATACTTCAAAAACACCCTCTCTTTCCTTCCTTCCTTCCTTCCTTCCTTCCTTCCTTCCTTCCTTCCTTCCTTCCTTCCTTCCTTCCTGTTGAGACAGAGTCTCATGAGCTGTGTAGTCCTGGCTGACCTGGAACTCACTATGATGCACGTACCCCAGGTATACACTATTACACCTGGCCAAACCCTATCCTTTACCAATGTAGTACATGCTAGGATACCATGACTGTGTCTTTTTCTTCAACAGTTTATATTGTTTTGAGGTCTTTTTGCCCCAGTCACTATCTGCAGGGTGTCCTCAAATCCCATGCAGGAACCAGGGACCCACGTGCATTCAGTTAGATACATATGAAGACCAAAACTAAATTAAATTCCAAAGCGTATTTATGGAAAATCTATTTTAAATTACAACAGTAAAAAAAAAACTTCAATTCAAATCTAGGTTAGGAGTATATCTCAGTAGCAGAGCACAAGTTCAGCAATACACAAGGACTGAGAAACAGCATAAAAGGGGAAAAATTACCAAGTTAATTACAAGCTGCTGTTGCTTCTTTTGTTTTTGTTTGTTTTTTCTTAGTTTTTCAAGACAGGGTATCTCTGTGTAGCCCTGGCTGTCCTGGAACTCTATCTGTAGACCAGGTTGTCCACAAACTTAAGAGATTCGCCTCCTTCTACCTCTTGAGTGCTGGGATTAAAGACCTGAGCCACTGCTGGGCAGTGGTAGTGCATGCCTTTAGTCCCAGCACTCGGGAGGCAGAAGCTGGCAGTACTGGGGAACAGAAATAAGGCAGAACTCTGAGGCCCAGTAGCCAGAACAGCCTAGCCAAATTGATAAAGTCTCACGCTCAGTGACAGATCCTGTCTCAAAAATGAGGTAGAAAATTATGGAGGAAGACACACACAGCTACCTCTGATCTCTATACATATATGTATGCACACACATATATACACAGAAGTAAACAACGAATTTATAAAGCTAGCACCAATCTTTTAAGCATAAAGCTAGAACTCAGAACCAATGATAAAGATTTGACAGCTTCCAGAGGACATTTTAATTATCTTCTGTTTTAACAGTTATAAATGGACTATCTTCCCAATGTCTGAACTATTTCCTGTTAGAATTTTGTTCCATTTACTCTCTAAAGACCACAAACTATGACTGTGATGGTAAATCAACTTGACTGGGTTTGGAATCACCTAGAAGACACACCACCTCTGTGAGTGTCTGAAGGAATTTCTAGAGAGGTTTAACTAAAGATAAAAGACTTGCACTGAGGTTTTAGAGTAAAAAGGATAAAGTGGCAGGATTCCCTGTTCTGTTTCCTTGTCAGTTGAGAAGTGAAGACTCCCAGCCACACCTTCTTTCATGAACTACACCGCAATGGACCCAACTCTCTTCAACCAAAATAAACCCTTCTATTACTTGTCAGGTATTTAGTCACAGCAATGGGAAAATAATGCACTAATTAACAGAATGGTCAAACATTTAATTATCTCCAGTGCCATTATGAAAAGGTCTACTATAACATCAATCAATTCCAAGAACAAAGAAATGTGTTCATAGATCTTACCTAATGTTGTGTTCAAGTACAACAAACCAACCTCAGGAATATCACACCTCCCCTCTCACTCAACCCACCTACCTCATTCTACACATACAACTCTTAAGCAGAGCCTAACAACTATTTTATTACTATTTATTTAGAAAAACAGATACCACTACTTTATAAAAACTGTAATTTTTTTTAAAACTCCATCCTATTAAAAAAAAATCTTGTTCCTGCTGTGTTGCTTAGTTCTGTTAGCTTTACAAGACCTGGAATTGCCTGTGAAAAGTCAGCTGAGGGCATGCCGATGGGGGATTATTAATTTATAGGAAGACTCAGCCCATTATGGGTGACACCAATTCCCTAGGCAGGGGATCCTGAAGAAGTGAAAGGGAGGAAGCTATCTGAAAGCAAGCAGATAAGCAAGAATATATGCATTTGTTTCTTTTTGGTCTTGACTGTGGATGTGATGGTAAGTTCTTGCCATGACTTCCCCTCAATAATGGACTGTAACTTGCAACAGTAAATCCAATCTCTCCTAAGTAACTTGTGGAGATACTTTGTCACAGCAGACATGAAACTTGAACACTCATAATCTACAAGGTATCTTCTGTCTCTTGCTGAGACTGAACACCCTTCTAATGTGGACCTGGGTGGCTTCCACAGGCCTGCATATCAAAGTTTGATTCTCAAGCCTGGTGATGGTATCGGACACCTTTTATCCCAGCACTTGGGAGGCAGAGGCAGAGGCAGGTAGGTGGTTCTCTGTGAGTTCGAGGCCAGCCTGGCCTACAAAGTAGATGCCAGGACTGTTACACAAAGAAACCCGTCTGAAACAAAACGAAAACAAACGTTTGGTTCTCGATGCCATGGAGAAGGAGGTGAAAGGGTTTGTGTCACTGAGGATACATCCTTGAAGGAGACTTTGGAACTTTGCAATGTCTTCTTTCAGATGTGAGGCAGCAGCCTGCTCCACCACATGCTCCTTGCCCTATTACATTGACCCCTCACCCCAGGTTCCAAAGCACCAGCACCGACCACAGGCATAAATGCAAAGCCATAATCTACGATGAAGCTCTCCTCATTACAAGGTATAGTCTTGGATATGTTACAGTACCGGAGAGTTGAGTAACAACGGATAACTCCATTAAAGTTTTATACCCTCATACCCCTTAAATCAGAACCCAAAACTCAATTTAAAAACCCTGCCACAATGCCACTCCTTCCTATGGATCACCAGTTCATTGATACAAACAAAACAGCAAGTACCAACTGAACAAGAGAAAGGTAACTTTATTTTTTAATTAAAAATCGTTATTTATTTTCCATGTATAAGTGGCTCTATCCAAACCAACTGAACAAGAGAAAGGTGACTATTTTTTTTAAAAGGTTATTATTTCTTTTACGTATATGCTCTATCTGCATGTACACCTTTATGCCATTAAAGGGCATTAGATCCCACTATAGATGGTTGTGAACCACCATATGGTTGCTGGGAATTGAACTCAGGACCTATGAAACTGTAGTCAGTGCTCTTAACCACTAAGCCATCTCTCTAGCCCTGAGAAAGGAGACTTTAAAACATCCCTGTGATATGAACTTTGGGGGCATTACAGAGCTTGAATATGTAATCAGTAAATTGGGTGGCAGCATGAAATTCCTTACCTACTTGCCTCCAAAACAAAATAAAACCCTGGGGGTGCACTATATGCTGGTTGTCTTTAAAAAAATTTTTTTTTAATCAAAATCAGGTTATTGTTGTCCTCAGAATCAGGCCTTGTTACTGTTTTGGATACCGGGCCTATTTACTGCTACAGATGAGAGTGGAGAAATTCAACATTTATGTGGTTTATCATGGTATTCTTGAAGCTTTGCCATCCCATAAATTACAACTTCCCAGTGGCTTGCCTTTCCAGAAGCTACATGATTTTGCCTTTGAAGTGGGAGGTCATGAATTTATGGCTGAAAAATACAGTTCTATGGTAGGATTTGCTCTAATTTGCAACTGTGTTAGTTAGCTTTCCATCACTGTGACAAAATACCTAGGACAGTCATCCTATGGGAGGGGGTGGTATTTTGGTTCAATTTGGGGAGGTTTAGTACATAGAGCTCTGGGTCCTTTTGTTCTCTCTTTGTGGATATGTATGAGAGCCCAAAGCAATGGAAAACGGGTAGTGCTAACCATCTTCTGAGTCACACCAGAGACTCACAGACATTCTGACTAACCCAGGAAAAGGCAACATCTTTCTTTCAGATGGGACAGTTATCCCTTTTCAAGTAGCAAGGGGGTGACAATCATAGCTACTATTTCATTGTAACTGCTTGTTCATTCATTCATTCATAGAT